GTCTGCTCCAAGCATTTCCACAAAGGTCAGTCTGCTGTTGTAGTTAATGCGTCATTTTCATAACATAATTGGTGATATAGGTTACAAGCAAGTCTGGCGCTGAACAGAAATTGTCGCGCTATGCTCCTTTATTTATTGTGCATAAATAGTGAATTGTCCTGACACAATATTGCGTTTCGCTTCTGTTATTATGGTACACTGACAAAAACATATACTTTTATTCATAGGATAAAACAGGTTTTTTGTATCACTAATTGCCCAGTACGATTACAGCATACAATATTATTGTCACTGCTACATTTCTGTGATGCTACCAGAAATTATTTCCACTACTAATTAATTACCGTTGAGCTCAAAGGTTATATTAATAAACGGTTAAGGAATGTGTATTTATGACGACAATTTGTGAGACTGGTAAACTTATGATACGTACGATGGTCTTTCGTTCTACACGGTGTGTTTCAAGGTCCTGTACCCATCTGTCGGTAAACTGTACCTGGGCTTGTTGCAGTGACCTGAAGTTACTAAACTTCATGAGTGTATGCACTCACTCCAAGAACCGTATGCTTATAAATATGCATATAAATATGCTAAGATGAGATAGCTGACTTCATCTAACTAGCAAATGTTTTCCAGGCTACGTTGGTGATACAGTTTTTTTTAATGTGTATGATATTTTTGTCATGCGATTTTAAAGCCGGTCCTACAACCGCATCCAAGAATAACATGCGGCTTATCTCAGAACTGTCGGTGAAAATTATTCTTGGAGCTAGGTTTAATTGAGCTGCATTTTAAAGAGGTGCAATTTCACAATTTGTGTATATTTTCTAAGTTCACTATTTTGTCATGTGTTGAGAAAAACACAGATTTAAAAATTACATGGTCTAATATTTACATTTAGCATAACTGCAACATGCTTTTTTTCGTTTTTTTTAATGACTCGAAAGGACTTGAAATTCAAAATTTCAGACTTGTGACTTGACTCGGACTTTTACACCAGTGACTTGAGACTCGACTCTGACTTGCCTGACATTACTTGAGACTTGACTTGAGACTTGAGGATAAAGACTTGAGACTTACTTGAGACTTGCAAAACAATGACTTGGTCCCACCTCTGGTATCAGCTAAAGAATGTTTTGGGAACCACTGACCAACATAATGTTCACTATCTGCTGGACCTGAGGTTGTGTGATTCGTAGGTTTCCATTGTGAGTGAATTCATTTGCCACAACAACCATAATTATCCATCACTTTAAGGCTTAATACAGTCTAAAGGTGTGCGTTACAGAGTATTTTACTTTTGGAATCGACTTTCTTGTTGATCCAGTCTAAAGCAGCCATTGGAGGAACTGCAGTCTAGGAGGAACTTTCATTTTTTATCAATGGTTTTTGCTTGAGCAGCACATAAAGTTGTGCTAGCATAACAACTAGCACAGAGGAAACGTTAGCAAAGCATGAAGAGGATAAGTTTTAATAGGCTGCTGCTGTATATATAGGACTATCGGTGTATGGATGGCAGGCTAGCATTTTGATTCTGTTCCCAGTATTTATACCAAGGTTAGCTAGCCATCACCTAGTGAGGTATCATAGCATTTCCTCAAAGTTGTCACACCGTCTCATTTTTATCAGTCTACACATATTGAGAACTATACCTTTCACTTCACCACTAAATCTCTCGTCTTGTGTTTAGGAGAACACTGGTTGGGCTTGAGGAAGGTGTTTCACATAGTAAACCAGAAGGATACTCGATTCCAGCTTCACATTGCTCTAGTCTCCCATGACGATGTCACCTCTTATGCATCGTATGATGACTTCCGCCTTGACAGTGAAACGCAGTTCTTCAGCATACACCTGGGCAGATATGCAGGTAGTGCAGGTATGGCTTAATAAGTTAAACTTCACAAAACAAATGTTATTTTTTAAAAATTGCTAAAGTGCAAATTAAAACACCGGCGACCGGTCCACTTGGTTATTTTGTGTCTCCTGCATGTCTGCATGGATTTCTGCGTGCTCTGGTGCAGGTGATGCGTTTCAAGGCTACAACCAGGAACAGAACCAGGACACGGCACCGTTCAGTGCCTCAGATGTCGACAATGATGGCTGCAACCCTTTCTGCTCCATTGGCAATTGCACGGTGGAGAGCTGCAGCATTCACCACAACCACACGGGGTGGTGGTTCAATCAGTGCGGTCTGGCAAATCTCAACGGCTCTCCCGAAGACACAGAGCGAAACCAGGGGCAGAGGACGCACATCGTGTGGGACACCTGGAGACACAACGGAGTCCCCTACACCATCAAATCTGTCACCATGAAGCTCAGGAGGATTGCAACCAATAATTGAGAGATGATGGGAAGAAATGGATCATTTCAATGCGTGACTAAAAGCTTCATTAAAACAGAATATAGTTCTTCTGGATTACTATTTTCACTGTGACCAACATAAAATAAAAATAAAATCAGCCAATTACTTATGGTGTTCTTCTTCTTTTACACTAATTGCAAACTCTGCTGCATTCCTGTCAGTTTCAACTGATCTTGGTTCAGCTAACATACACACCAAGGTAAGGGAGGAGAACTTAAACTGATCCAGTCCAGTAGGTGGTGCTGTGAATCTCAGCAAAGTGTACCGATTGAGACCTACATCACATGCAGTTTATTAGTATTGACCAGATTATTTCTGTCACTATTGCAGCAGAAATAATCCGCAACCATGAAATCCAAGCCTGATTAGTAAAAAAGAAAAACCCTGCAAAGGTCTGATCAAACAGAAACTAAATGCGACCTCCCCAAATAAATACGTTAGCAAGCCAGAGGACCTCTGTTGCTTCAGACACCCAGAGTACCCTCCCTGCTCCACAATCAAATCACTGGATTAGAGAGAAAAGGTTACCGAGGCTACAGCTGAAAACTGGGGCTTCTTCTTCCCCGAGGTCACATTCACACTGACGTGTGAAACTGAATCAGCCCCCTGATTCATCTCAGTATAACCACCGTGTTGAAACAGTCTGCAGAAACCTCGTGGTTTCACCCCTTCAGGTGCATCACATGATAGTCATTGATTAAAAGCAATCAAGTTTGGTAATCCTGTAAGACAGTAACGACCAACAGTAGCTCATACCTGTCTTAAGGTCGTGGTGTTAAAGACTTCCTGTTTCAGTAAATCTTTTACCAAATGATGATTCAATCAGGAAAGTTTCATGCGCATCAGAACTTTTGAGCGCTCCAAGAATCAGACGCTGTTATTATCGTTTCTCCAGATGAGCACTAGACACTTTGCAGCTGTAATGAAAACCGCAGCCTCTTGAGCACGCTGGCAGGACCTCAGACTGTTTAGTTTCGCCAGAAAATCACAGAAACTGGTGTATTCTAATCTCGCAGGTGTCCAACAAACCAGCGGTGATACTGATTTCTTATTATTCACACATTAGAGAAAGAAAACACAGAATAAAAAACAAACTCGGGAGAGTCTGGAGTGTGTCTAAGTTTTACCTGTTACATAAAAAATAAGGAGAAGTAGAAGTAAAGAAGAGCGAGAAAATGGTGGGATTGGGTGAAGGAAGGAGCTGCAGGTTCAGGTTGGTTTATTGGACAAAGAACAGATGCACAGGCTGCAGAACAGCTGCTTCCACACAGGAAACAATTTGGTCTGGGCCTTTGTGTGCGTGTGTGTTTTTCTTGTTCTTCCTCCCCTCCTTCTTCAGAGTTCAGCCCAACAAAACATGAACTATGAGCGAAATATCTTGAACTCAGGTGGCTTCATCATTTCAAGTGACGTCTTTAAAGTATACGGCTTTGGTAACTCTACTCCAGTTAGCTGCAGCATTGTGGGGCTTACATGTACGGTGTCCTGTTGGTGCCAAAGTTTGTCTGTGTGTGTGTGATATGTGTGTGTTTGTGCTTGTGTGTTTTAGCGTCAGTGATTCAGGTGATAACACTGAAGGAGCGCCTGCTCTATGTGTGGTCTGGTATGCCTACATATCACCGCAGTTAATCAATACGCACACCCACACATGAGGAGGACACACAAAGGACTGTCCAGGTACTTGTCCACTCAGTGCCCCTCAGTAAGAGTGTGTATGTTTAGGCTGACAGTGTTTACATCCAGATCTCAGGTCTGTTCTGTTCAGACGAGCAAATCTTAACAAAAACCCACAATGGTGACATTTGTCAGACTTTACCCCCATTGCCACTGAAATGTGACGCCCCTACGCCACGACACATCCAAACTGGCTAATCTTCAGCAATCAGGTCCTTAAAAGGCAATTCTCTCTGCCACAATTGTGCATTGGAGATCCTGCTTTATCAGGCTGATTTCACGCTGAGACTTTTTACAGACTGTAAGGGGTTTTTTCATGTGAAATTCAGCTTGAAAGCAGACAAAAAGTGCTCTCAGCTGACATAGGTAGCAACAAAACAAATAAAAGAATTATGGGACAATAAAGCAGAAGATGATCACAATATTGCTGCAAAGAGCTACTAAAAGCTGGACAGTTGTAAACACATGAACACATGTGATTGGGTACAGAGTTTTCCCACACTGGACCAGGATCAGCTGAGAGTGGGAGCACACAGGAAGCAAAGTCTACAGGGAATTTAAACCCTGAGGAATCTCATCTGCTGTTCATCAGCCATCAGTCACTTCTGCACGCATGTACACACACACTAAAACTCTCAACACGTACTCTAAACAATGCAGTTTAAAATAGCATCTTACGAGTCAAAAATACAACTATTGGTAAGACACTATATCATGAGAATATTTCATTTCTTTACTCCTATTATTTTTGTAACAAATCCACCTTTATTGCCACGACTAATACTGAGTAATATCAAAGAAAGAGATGAAGGACTTGGTGAAACCGCTGAGACAAATATGAACCTACATCTGTAGTAACTCTGAGCCTGTTCAGTCGCAACCCTGAGCTTCCTCCCACATCTGTAAAGTTCAATGCGTCACGTAAGGAAAAGTGTTATGGGACCCAGAAGGATGCATTCTTTCTCAAGAACACAGAAAAAACCAGAGGGGGAGGGCGACAGAGAGACGGAGAGAGAGACGTGCCACAGACACTTGATTAGTCTTTCACATGAAACGGGAGCGCAGCCTCTGCTGTCGATCACCTCCAGGATGAACCACAGACCGCTTGCAGTTCATCATGCCAGCCGGACTGCAGGTTACAGCGACAGCCCCAGAGCCAGGAGCCGTGATAACCTGCTCATGTACGATGATTTTGGAGAGGAAACGTGTTGCTCCGGACGATGCCTTGGGTAAGTCTGCCAGAGGTGTAGCAGGCATATATGCTCATCCTCTGCATCTTTTTGTTAAAATCATGGATAAGACTGACAGATTTTAAAAAGTTTGAAGGAGAAGATAAAACGTATTTGGACGCCTGATGGTAATTTTCACTAAATATTGCAAGCACAATGTTCTTCAGTTTGCATTCTTTAACTTGGAACCAGCAAAACAGCCACAGGTGCTCATTGGGTTTAACTCTAGGTCAGCGCTCTGGGATGGAGGGAGGGAGACTGATGTACATTAGAGAGTGTACTTCAGAACCCATGATCCATTAGTAAACGTAATTTAACTTATGAGTAACATAATGCTTATAATGTAAACCATTTTTTTTGCATTTCCTGCCTCGTTATTTACATTAGCCTCAGTGCTCAGTGCTACAGGATTTCTCAACCTCTTCTTATGCTCCTCTCGTCACACACCGATGCCTGCTTGGGAATCCTTTTGGTCGTTCTGATGCACTGAGTACTTCGTTTTTATGTGCAAACCTTGTAAGCCATCATGGCATAAACAACAAACCTCATATGATGTAGCAGAACAGAATGTTAGATAATGCATCTTAAAAGAATATTAAGAAAGAAATACAGAACCAGGAAAATGTTGTAACTTGATACTATTTCATCTGTTCTCTAGGTAAAAGTTAACTTACATCTACTAATTGCAGATTATGGTAGGCAAGTATATGAATGAGGTTAACTGTGATTCAGTGCTCTCTCACGGGTGTGTGGGTCTCTCTCTCATTACTTGTGTGGATAGCACACCTGCACCGTTGAGAACTACATTGTGTGTAAATTCATGTGTGAACCATACACCGAGTGTTTTTTGTGTTTCTGGCAGCCACAGTAACTCTGAGCGACAGCTTATGGCTCGTCTCACTGCTGCTAAACGACGCCAGGCTCTCCGTGGACCTGCCTACATGTTCTCAGCTCCCTCAGTCAGCCTGTCAGAGGTTGAGCAGCGTTTCCTGGAAGCAGCTGAATACGGGAACATACCAGAGGTGCGGCGTATGCTGCTGCATGTACCCAACTTGAACGTCAACGCTGTTGACTACATGGGCCAAAATGCACTGCAGCTGGCAGTGGCCAACGAACATCTGGAGGTGACAGAGCTGCTGCTGGGGAGGGCAGACTTGGCCAGAGTGGGCGACGCTCTCCTTTTAGCCATCAGTAAGACCTGATTATTTATGTATGGCCAAAAACACATAACATGGCAAAATCTCTATATCACTCAAAAGTTCCAAAGATGTCAGACACAACACATTGCTTGACTGGATGGAACCACAGTTATGTAACCGTTTATCCGTTAATCTGTGTCCTTACATAGCTGTGTCTCTTTATGAGTCTAGTGACATTGCTTAATAATAATGATTAATTGCCTCAGTACTGTTAACCCCTCTGTACCACAGCCTCTGAGTCAAGTTTCTCATACATCCTGCAGCCACTCAGCTGCCTGCAAAAATGTTACCACAGTTGCATTGGCATTTTTCTGCTCAAACGGGCCAGACTTGGACCATTTCTGGTGAAATACTTTGTGTTTAGTTTGAGGAGATTGTTGATGACTACGTTTTTACATTTTACTTATTTCTTTATATTTTGCTAGGACAATGGGAATGTAGTGTATAAAGCAAAAAGAGTGCAATTCTAACAAACTTCAAAATCAATGTTTGGTATCACCACCTTTATTCTTTAACATAGTTTCAGCTCTTGTAGCTTCATTCTCTGGTCTGTTGAAGGAAATTCAAAGTTTTACTTTGGATGTTGGCTGCCTTCTGTTCTCGTCAAGATCTCATACTGCTTAAATAATGCTGATGTCCGAGCTCTGGGGAGGCCAGTCCATCACTGATAGTATGCAAGTGTGTGTTTTTCTATACAGGTATGCTTTTACTAATCATTGGCAGTGTGTTTGGGATGACTGTCATGCTGAATAATGAAGCCACTGACAATCAGATGCTTTTCAGATGGTATTGCACGACGGATCAAAATTAAAAAGTTTACTTTTCTGTGTTCGTAATTTCATTGGTTTTAACAACATCTTCAACACCACTGTCTATGATGCCTGAAACCTTTAAAGACTCTCCACCAACTTACTGTTGTACGTCTCTGCTGACCTCCTTCATACATAATAATGATGATTTGAACCAGAATGTTCATATTTGGATTCAGTGCTCAATATGACCTGTTGCTAGAGATTTTCAGTCCACTTATTGGGAAATTTGGCAAACCTCAGTTTTCCTGTTTTCCTTCTTTAAGAAGGTCTTCTTGACAGCCACCCTTCCAATGAGGCCAGTGAACAGTAAATGGATCAGCTGAAGGTTCAGATGCGTCTCTCAGGTCTGGACTAAAAATGAGGGGAAAAGAAGCCAATGCCTAAAGAAAAACCTTTGAAAGGCCCTGAGAAATCCTGGAGAACTACTGCCCAAGACGACTAAACTTTGGCTTTTGCAAAATCCTGTCTAGCTAAGTTGCTAACATGCTAATTTAGCACGAGTACAAAAGACTAGACTTTTAGCCTCTTCTGTTAGCAGTTACAAGATTTAAAAGATTGTTGCTTTAAAAAAGACAATATTAAAGGTTGGTTCCATTGTTCAGGAAGGCTGAGGATGTATGTTTTCTTCTTTAGTAAGTCATCATTTAAAAAAAAAAAAAAACAGGCGATGTAGTATTGAAAAACTGTGACCAACCTGAGTAGATAGCCTATATCAGGGGTTCTCCAAGTATGGCCTGTGGGATAACGGCGGTCCTTATCAAAATCTATTACGCACTGCAGGCATTGGAAGGAAAATATACATTTAATTTCTCCACAGTTTATGTTTTAAGGTAGTAAAATATGAGTTCAAAGGACCATTTTCTTTCAAGTTGAGCTATTCTGTTTGAGCCATTATGGCATGCTAACAAATGATTAGGAAATTTAACAACTACTTCAGTAATGGTTAAAAATACTTTAAACCAGCCCCCCCAAAAAACTGCAATAATGATCACAAACTCCAGCAAACTACCAAATGCTATGTAAGCTAACATTTTAGAGTTATCGTTAAGATTCAGCAATTTTAGCAACAGCAGTGTAAATGAAGTTGTACCACCAACAAGTTTGCTCCGTTTTTGTTTTAGGTAAAGGTTATGTTCGCATCACAGAGACTTTGCTGGGCCACCCTTCATTTAGAGACGCCCGTCGTCTAACAGCAAGCCCCGTTCAGGCAGACATGTTGGATGACTTCTATGCTTATGATGAGGACGGGACAAGGTATGTGTGAGGAAGAGGTGTTTCATTACTTACATTTGTATATTTGTTTAAGGTAATAGCGGACACTTTATTAGGCACATTTGCACTTCAGGAAAACATTTGGAACATGCATAAACATGAAACTTTTTTAGATATGTATTGAGTATTTATTAAACACCTCAATGGTTTGTGTGATTCTGTCTTTCAGACACTTGAGCAGCTACTCAGTTTATGGTGGGCAGATGCTGTAAGATAAAGAGACAGTATTAGCCACAAATGTATCCAGTTATTGTGTGGTTAAGAGAAGTGTGGGTAGTGTATTTATGCGATAATCATGAACATGGGTGCTGATGGAAAGAAGGAAGTGGGGTGGGGGATGAGCATGTTATGAGCAAGGTGTGGCTTATCAGCAGCAGCAGACTCTTTCTTTTGCTATTGCTGCTTCATAAAGCTGTTGTGTGAAGTTTGCAAATTAAAGCTTCAATAAATAAAATAGCAAAACTTGTGTTTTATAAAAACAAGTTCCTGACATGCAGATCTCTCCTTAATATTTGGTTTCAAGGCTCGTTTTTGCTTTCATCATGCAGCTACATGCAGCTTTTTTTTTTTCCACTGGCAACTAAGTTTGTTTGCATTAAAGAAACTAAGTTTAGAAGTCCTGGCAGATGGATTTAGCAGCAAATCATTTTCCTGTTTACAGTCTTTGTGCTAAGCTAAGCTAGTTCTGGCAGTAGCTTCATATGTGCTGATTGGAGATATTATATCTAATCTATCTCTGAACAAGAAAGCAGTTAAATATGTTCCACAACTGTCATAGTCTCACACGAGTCAACAACAAGAAGCTGACAATAGGGGGGTAGTGAGGTATAAATGGAAATGTCCATGCTTGGTGACGCAATGTAACTATGATGGATGCACTGACTGCTCCAGCTGCTGCTATTTTTTTATTTTTTTTGCTTTTTTGCAGTTAGTTTGCAGAAAAGTTCATTAAATAAATTCATAACATTCATAAAAATGTTGAAACTTAAACCTCGTTTGCAGAAACGAAGCTAAGGCGAATGCTGATACTGCGTACTATCTGCATGTTTCTCTGTGTGTAAATTCCTGCAGGTTTTCTCATGACGTGACTCCAGTGATACTGGCTGCACACTGTCAGGAATATGAAATTGTTTACACCCTGCTAAGTAAAGGGGCTCGCATCGATCCGCCTCATGACTACTTCTGTGGCTGTGACTCGTGCAACTACCAGCAGCAGTTTGACTCCTTCAGCCACTCCCGATCGAGGATCAATGCCTACAGAGGACTCGCCAGTCCTGCTTACCTCTCCTTGTCTAATGAGGATCCAGTGCTGGCAGCACTGGAGCTCAGCAATGAACTGGCCATGCTAGCTAATATTGAGAAAGAATTTAAGGTACAAATACAACGACAAGAACAAAAATGCAAACACAAGTCCGGCAGAACTAATGTGCACTGTCTGTTATCACTGCTGTACACATACCCTAAAACATACCCATGAACATTTTATAAACCTTAAGAGAAGAACAGACGAGGGTCTAGATCCTGTGGTCACTGTTCAGATTTTTGGTTTGACACATAAACAACAGCTGTAATTATTGCTGGGCTCAGAGTACCAAAGTATGCTGTGGGTACTGTACAATAAATAAACAACAGGATGCCTGAGCAGAGATGTCCAAATACAGCCTACACATTTTTTTTCTTGATGTTCATGCTGTGAAAAGTATTTGCCCCCTTCCCGATTTCTTATTCGTTTCCATATTTGTCACACGTGGAAGAACACAAAGGCTTGCTAACATTGCCAAGACTTTTGGGAAATATTCTGTGGGCTGATGAGACAGAAGTTGAACTTTTTAGAAGCTTTGTATCCTGTTACATGTGGCATAAAACTAGCAAAGCATTCCATAACGAAAACATGACAACAGCCAAACACGGTGGTGGTGATGTAGTGTGATGGTCAGAGGCTGCTTTGCTGCTTCAAGACCTGGATGACTTGCTGTTGACTTGATATATTCATGAATTCTGCTCTCTAACAGGAAATCCTGAAGGAGAATGTCCATTCATTCCCTGAAGCTCAAGAGCACTCAGGTTAAGCAGCAATGACATGGAGTGGCCTAGTCAAAGTCTGGTCTCAGACTTTGACTTTGACTAGACGGAGATGCTTTGACATCACCGTAAACAGACTGTTCAGGCTCAAACACCCTCCAATGTGACTGAATGACAACAATACTGCATGGAAGAGTAGGCTAAAAATTCCTCCACAGCGTTGTGAAAGACTCACTGTCAGCTTTCAGAAATGCATGATTGCTGTTTTTGCTACTAGAAATAGCACAAACAGTTATTAGGTTTAGGGGCAAGTGTGGATAGCTTTTTGCTCTCAATAAATGAAAACATCATTTAAAAACTACCTTTTGCATTTACTTGCATCTTACTAGCATCTTACCAAATCATCTCAAATGTTTCACTCCTGATGCACATTTCCTCCATCATGTTTCTAGAATGACTACTCCCGCCTTTCGAGCCAGTGCAAGGATTACGTGGTGGGCCTTCTGGACCTGTGTCGCAGCACGGAGGAAGTTGAGGCCATATTAAATGGAGAAACTGACTCGGACGATAGCTATGATGTACCAGGTCGCCCCTCCCTCACACGGCTCAAATTAGCCATCAAATACGAGCTCAAAAAGGTCAGTGTGTTCTCAAACAGGCAATGACACAGCAGCAGGATAAAACATGGGTTTTCTGAGCAAGTTAGAAGTATTGCAAACATTTATCTGTGCTATGGGAGCAGCATAACCCATTTAGATTGATATCCTACTAAAAACTGTCATTGTCATTCCAGTTGTGGACGACATAGAGCCAAACTGATATGTTGGCCGATAACAGCTATTTGCCGATATATCAGTATTGGCAAATAATTTCCATTTTTAGGTTGTTAAATGAAAACTAAAGAAGAGAACGAAGAAACATCGCTCAACTGTGTTGCGAAGGTTATTACATAAGTTTTCCACTAGAAGGTGCTCTGCAGCTCCCGTGTTGGAAAAGTATTCAGAACAACCAGCTGATCTGAGCAGAGTTGGGCAGAGTGTAAACGAGTCATGTGACAATAAAACAAGTTTATTTTTAAACTGCTTTGTTATACTATCTTAGTAAAAAGTAACTACACATAACACATTTTGGGGAATTTTTTTTTCTAGTGTGCCTGAAAGAAAAAAAAAAAAATCGGCTAATATATCAGATTTTTAAATCACCAAATATCAGTAATGGTGTCTGTCTAAAAAATTCTATATGAGTTGGACTGTCCGTAACATTACTGCATGAGGGTAACAAACTTTTAAAATCAGACAAATATCCAAAGGTGAGAAAAACAAACAACAACAACAACAACAGCTATGGATGCTGGGAAACAATGCCTAATTTTAAGATCAATTTAAAAAAATAGAAATGAAAAATGGAATTTATAGTGTGAAACATCAAAATGCTGTCGACAAGTGTTTTTAATATAAAGATATTTGTAGCACTTAGTCACGTTGAGCTGAGTCTGAACTCATCTGTCTTCATTTCTAATTGCAGCTGTCTGATGTAATCGTTTTAGAAGCCAATTTGTGTGGTTTAAATCATTAATCAGTTTGTAAAATGCCAGAAAATTACTCTTCATAAATCGATTAAATGTTCAGATCAATAAAAACAAAAATAAATCTGCTCTAGTTTCAGCTCTCAGGTGTAATGGATTTCTGCTTTTCTCTGTGTCAAATAAATAAAAATAGAATCACACTTTAAGGATTCTACCTTAAGCTTCCAGTAGCCTTTATTTTCCCGTTTCCTTCTCCTTAACTCTTCTGTCCTACTTCTTTCATCTGTGCCTTTCAGTTTGTGGCTCATCCTAACTGCCAGCAGCAGCTGCTGAGTATCTGGTATGAGAACCTGCCTGGCCTGAGACAACAAACCACTGCCATCAAACTGCTGGTGGTGCTGGCGGTGGCTATAGGACTGCCTGGACTGGCTGTGGCTTACTGGATTGCCCCATGCACCAGAGTAAGTAATATTTACATCCATAAAGATCATTCACAGTACAAGCTTTCCTCTCACCCTTCCGTTATTCCATCTCTCATTCTCAGGTGGGAAAAGTGATGCGTAGCCCCTTCATGAAGTTTGTGGCTCATGCCTCATCCTTTACAATTTTCCTGGGTCTTCTCATCCTGAATGCTGCTGACCGCTTTGCAGGCACCACCCTGCTGCCAAACATGACACACCATCAGCTCCCGGGCAGCTCTGACCCTCTGCTGCTCTACCGCATGACTACAACACCCTTCACTTGGATGGAGATCCTTATCATCTCATGGGTCATAGGTGAGCATAAGATGATGATAGATAATAAAAAAGCAAACAATTAAAAAAACAACTGAACATCTGCCGAATCATGTCATTTGTGTTCTTGTGCTCCTGCTGCAGGTATGATTTGGGCAGAGGTAAAGGAGATCTGGAGTCAAGGACCAGGGGAGTACCTGGTTGAGCCGTGGAACTTCTTGGATTTTGGGATGCTCGCCATCTTCCTGGCTTCCTTTAGCTGCCGCTTCTCTGCGCTGAGACATGCTAACCTAGCACAGACCTCTGTGTATGCAAAATACACAACGCTGATTAATGTCACACTGCCTAAGGAGATACGCTACTTCACTATGGGTGAGCAGTTTCACATTTTCACACATCGCATGAACTAATTCAAATACCATGATGTGCTTGATTTATACAGCAGCAAATCACTTGAAAAGAACCCCCAACAACCAGACAACCCCCTATAAACAAGTACTTGGTGACAGTGGGAAGTAAAGACTCCTTTCTAACAGGAAGAAACCTCTAGCAGAGAGGGGTAGCCATGCGCCATGACCGATTGGGGGTGAGGGGAGAGTCTTTACAGGACAATCTGTGTTATAGTAGAGCCTTTACTTTACAATATTAAGCACCTTGAAGTGACCGTTGTTGTAATTTGGCACTGTATACATAAGATTGAATTGAAACAGAACAAAAGACACATGTTTCCTTCCTGCTGGGAGACACTGCCATGAGGTGATGTGATTGGCTGGAAACAACTTTTAGGCAGGTTGCAAGCATCAAAGTAACATCGGCAGAAATGCCAGAACCCAAGGTTTCAGAGCTGAAGATTGATTTATAAGGAAAAGATTCACTTCACTTGTTCATGGCTTTAATGTTGTATCTGTTGTAGCTGTCAGTCTATAGATGTAAAAAGTAAAAAGTATCACTGTCGCCCTAGATTTTCCTGTGCTTATTGGCAAATTAACTTTTGTTTTTTCCTTCTCTTTAAAGAGAACAAGATGAAATTAAGCCGCGTGGCTAACACATCCTTTGTTAAATAGCCTTTTTAGTGCCCGGCTTGTGCTCATTTATCAAAATAATCTTCAGTGTGCCTTAAAACAATAATTGCAAGCTTTAATCAAAGGTGATTTTCTGACTTACGCTTGTGTTCTTTTGTAGCTCGTATCGAGTGGGTGGCGTCAGATCCCCAGTTGGTATCAGAGGGCCTGTACGCGGTCGCAGTGGTGCTGAGCTTCTCTCGGATTGCTTATATCCTCCCGGCCAACGAAAGCTTCGGTCCCCTGCAAATCTCTTTGGGAAGGACAGTAAAGGACATTTTTAAGTTCATGGTCATTTTCATCTTGGTCTTTCTGGCGTTCATGATCGGCATGTTCAACCTGTACTCTTATTACCTGGGTGCAAAACAAAATGATGCCTTCACAACGTAAGTCAATACCAGTGAACATCTGAATTTGTTTTTTTATCTATTTATTTTTTTCATCAACTTGCACAGACGAATTCATCATGAAACTTGATTCAATTCTTGATCAACAATGGATTACCAATCCAAACCAAGGATATCACCACAAGGGTTCACAGATATTTTATATCCTGATCCTTTCTAACTATTCTTATCCAAGATCTGAGAGCTGTTTCTTTGGTAGACCCACTCATTTTGTGGTTATTACAGTTAAAAGAAGCCCCAACATTTTTGTGGCTTGTCACCATTTAAAACCAAGCCCTTGGGACCCTTATCACTGGTTGTGGTTATAGTGTGGGCAAAACTTATCATCAGTGCACCCAGGAGGGATTTGATCTCCCTACAGCTGAAGAAGTTTTGAGTCCAGAAAAAGTTAAAGTATCTTGGATTTCAAAACAAAGAGCAAAATTATGTGGCAGCAATGAAAAGAATCTTGCATTTATCTTGGGACCCATTAGCACAAATAGTTACAGCTAAACCTTTACACAGTCATAATAGAGTATTATAAAAATATGACATGTTGCCTCAAAATCAGATTCATTGTGCCAAATAAATTCATGCTAAACTTGCATGTTTGTGCAATAATGTCAACACTATTCTGAATTATTCTGTAATTTTAACTCCAAAAAACATTTTGTCCTTCTGTTGATTTACTAAAAGAGTATCTCTGACGTTGATGGTGTACGGCTGGTTTGAATTCAAAAATAACTTCCCTCTGTTCTCCCTCTGTCCCTTTATTCGTCTGTGCATCCGTCCAGCCTGGAGGAGAGCTTCAAGACATTGTTCTGGGCTATATTTGGACTGTCTGAGGTCAGATCCGTAGTGATCAACAACGGACACAAATTCATCGAGAACACTGGTTACGTCCTGTACGGAGTTTACAATGTTACCATGGTGATAGTGCTGCTCAACATGCTCATTGCCATGATTAATAGTTCCTTCCAGGAGATTGAGGTGGGTCATTAAGACGGTAAATCATTCTGTGCCCCAGATGCATGCTTGAAAATATGAAGCATGGGCTGAAAAAGCAGCCCCACATGTAGCGCACGTTGAACTGGTACTTATATAGCACTAACTCTAACAAAGATTCACTACAAGGTTCATTCACCCAAGCACACACACATTCATAAAGAGAAATAATGTCATTTAAATTAAGATATAAAGAGAAGCAAATTACTTTAATTTATTTGTGTCACAGAATGTGAATACAACTAAATTAAATCAGGGCCTTTTCCTTTACCCAGCAATTATGCCTGTATAGACCCACCTGTGGGTAAAGTGTCCTGCTGTGTGGACTTGGTAAACCCCCACTTATCCCATCTGAGCCCCAATTAGGTGAGCCCACACAGGGTTGACAGCAGTGTTGGCCTTGGAGTCTCTATAAGAGTTTTCTGTAAGCCGCTGTGGGTTGCCCACAGAAAACCTACGTGAGCCCCATGTAGGCTAGCCCATGAGGGGCCCATAGCAGTTTTATCCCTTTGCCCTCCCAAGAAGTAATTCTGTGGGTGCTCCACAGTGGATGCATCTAATGTAGTGCCCATAGTAATTTTTTCCTTTTGGATTCCTGTGAGGATTTTCATATAGTGAGCTTACCCATAGAAAACCCTCACTATAACACCTATGGGTTAGCCCATTAAGGCCCCACATTAGTTTTACCCCCTGGGCTAACCCATAGGTGTTTTCTGTGGGTAACCCATAGTGAATTTACCCTGCTCACTGCTTACTCAGGTCCACACTTCACCCATACCTACCCACTGTGTGCCCATGCGGGTATGTTTGCTGACACATTGTTTATAAAAAGGCGAGCCTATATAGGGAAACGTGATTATTGTGGAGAAGACGAAACTGTTGAACATATTTTATTACTTTGTCAGAGGTAGTATTAACCTGAGTTAGGATTTGAGTTTTCCTTCTTTTTTTTCTTTGAGGGCAAGTGGCTCCATAGTAATTGACATGTTTGCTTAACAAGCAAGAGATCCTTGGTTTTAACTTTGGGAGGAGACATAAATGTATTTGGAGTTGTGTGAGGAAGGACTGTTGTTAGAATCTGCTATGTCAATATGTGGAGACCCCTTGTGAATAAAGGAGTGGCTGGTCCACACTTCATACCAACTGGTGGTTGTAATGCACCACAGGCTTTTCCCCCTTCTGTACTGTCAAACATGTATATTTCCCTTCCCTGATACATTTCCCCGTTTTCGTCGTGATTTTTAATTTTTTTTAGGATGATGCTGACGTCGAGTGGAAGTTTGCTCGTGCAAAACTTTGGTTCTCCTACTTTGAGGAGGGAAGGACACTCCCTGTGCCCTTCAACCTAGTCCCCAGCCCAAAATCTATGCTCGGACTGGCCACAGGCATCAAGTCCTTGCTCCTGCAGTTAGTTGAAGGACACAGCAAAGAGAAAAATGAGACACAACTCAACCAGGTACCACACAGTATGGCGATTAATTCCCTAATATATCCAATGTTTATCCTTACGCAGCTTGAAAGGTAACATGATAGTTCAGCGTTAGTGGCAGAGCCTTAGCACCTCCCAGTGGTATTACTGCCACACCACAGAAATGTCACAATTCTGTTCAGCTAATTTGAGCTCAATTTTCCAGCTTGGAGTAAGCAAAAACTCAGGATATGGTGCTTCTACCAGCCGAACCAGATATCAGGCACGTGTTTGTGTATTTCACTGTTTTAAAACATAATTTTATTACTTGTTTTAATGTGTTATTTTTGCACAGAACATTTTGTTCATAATTCGAACCCCTTTCCCTTTACTGGTTACAGAAGATCATGAAGCGGCTAATAAAGCGGTACATCATCAAAGCACAAGCAGACAGAGAAAGCGATGAGATCACTGAAGGTAAAATAATAAAGAGCACCATTTGTCCTCCCATGCTGGCATCAACATTTTCTTTGATAGCTTTGCATCTATTTTTTTTTTTAATCCAGGAGAGCTGAAAGAAATCAAGCAGGACATTTCCAGTTTGCGATATGAGCTGCTAGAAGAAAAAGCACAAAACCTGGAGACGCTCGATGGGCTGCTGAAGAGGCTGGGAGAGATCAGTACGCCTTCATCATAGCAATGTCTGTCATAAGTGAAGAGCGCAAAGATTAAGTGCCTATTCACTGTCAAAAGATGCTGTATACATAGTGACACAACATTACTAACGATAAATGACAATGCACGTATGTGAATATAAACATTAAATATAAAAGGTCAAATGTATGTGACCGACAGTGTGATACACATTTTTTTGTAAAGTACAGACTCAATTTAAATATTCTATACTTATCTGCACACACACACACACACACACGGAGTACTGTCCAAAACTCACTACCTATCATTTCTTCATATTTTGCTTCCAGGTGGTCAGACCTTATTGTAATTTTTAAGCTGGTCTTAATCAATAGTTCTCCAGCTTTCTGAAGCTCTTTCAAAGTTTTTCATTTCATTTCACTAATTTTTCAGTCCAGTCCTTGTACCTGACCATTTTCATGCCATTTAACCCTGATCTATGAGTTATAAATCTAATTCAACATAGCAAAGAATACATTTAAATTGTACATTTAGGCATTTTGTTAGTAGCCGTCAATTGTTTTCCTTAATCAAATCTACAAAAAAAGCCAACGATAACACAGTTTGACAGGCATGAAATGGTACTTTTGCACCAACAATGTGATTCCTAAAAGATATATTCGTAAAAAAAACTGGGATATCTTGGCATGGTGTGCAGTATATCCTCAAAATCTCCAATGGGCAGGAAACCGGACAGGTGAGGGTCAAAAGAAGAAGTGGCAGATCTATAAATTATCGACAGCACAAATGAAAAATAAAATCAGCAAAGACCTGACAGGACCTGAGTGATGCATCTGGCCTTTCAGTCAATCTATTACTGTTCAATGAAGTAGAGGAAAATGGTCTCAGTGTAAGGGTGGCTGTCAAGAAGCCATTCTTAAGGAAGGGAAATAAGGGAGAAAAGGCTGAGGTATGCCAAGTTGCACAAGAACTGAACGGAAAATCAGCGGGAACAGGTCTTATGAAGTGATGAATTCAAATTGGAAGTTTTTGATTCACTATGTTTGAGGATATCAGGAGAGGGGCACACCATTGAGTGTCTACAGCCATCTGTTGCACATGGTTGATACTCTGTCATGGTTTCTGATTGCATTTCAGCCATAGGTGTTCGAGATCTTGTCAGCACTGACTGAAACATGAACACAGAAAGGTCATCATCATCATTTGATCCACAATGCAGTACCATCTGGAAAGCATCTGACTAGATTAGAATGACATGACAAACACACTAGAAATGCAGAAAAATCATACTTGAATAAAAACACACACAATGGAACACTATCAGTGATGGTGCATTATTGAACTACTGTGGGATCATCATGACAGAGAATGGAACAAAAGGCAGCAACATCCGAAGACAAGCTTTGGCTATTTAAGCAGTCTTCTATTCCTGAAGAATACAAGAGGTCAGGCTATGTTGAAGAATAAAGGTGTCTGTACCAAATATTAACTTTCAAGCTTATTAGTACAAACTCTGTTTTTGCCAATGACTCAATATTTACATGCAAGTTTGCACACATCTCATCGAACCTATTCCTATTTTTCCCAGTAAAATATAAAGAACTGAAGGATGGCTCAAGACTTTTGCACAGTGTTGCAGATACACAAGTTTCCTTTTGTGTCGATATAATTTACATTTCTTATTTCCTACACATTTATTAAAAATATACTTAAAGCTATCAAGACAATAGTTATTAAAAGTAGTACATAATCAAAACCTGGTAAACTGAAAATGCAAAATAAGAAACATGCATTGTAATAATAAGTGTCACCTCAATCTACAGATTAAACCTTATTTTTTAGCAAAAGTATTTATTAAAACAGCAAACTGACTGAGCCAGCAGGAAAAAAAGATGTTTTGGCAGGATTCAGACCAGCAGTTCATACAGTTTTAAGGCACAGTGGTGTGAACACTTCATTTCTAATCTTAACGTAGTTTTAATTAAACATATAAATTACCAAAACTGATAGAAAAACACTGTTTCCATGTACCTATTTGACACATTTAATCTAAAGGTGGCATCCTCAAAAAAGGAGCTGATAATGGCGATTAGTAGAAACGATCAGACATTAGTCAAATATTACCATCTAGTGTATGATAAGATGGTTAATAAAGCATAACATGGTTACATACAGTATACATATTGTTCATATCCTGCCACAGTAGTCAGTGATAAGAGTCACAGTTACATGATAAATATATTATATCTTTAATCAGCAGCACAAAGCAGAACTTTATGCACTGGAGATCAGCAAAGTCCAAGTAAAATCCATGTTTCAGTGATGTGGTGACATGATCAGGAACATCACATGTACGTGATGTAGTTTTCAGGTACCAGGCCTGTTCTGCCATTGTATGTTGCTTGAAGCCATCCTGGTTCCACCGACGGGCACACTGCAGACACAAACAGATCCGTTAAACTCAGCAAGTCGAGACAAAGACCCTCGTAAACCACTCACATTTCATATGATGACTTACACAGACACCCATAACCTTGCTCTCTACAACCTACAACTCAAGCTGAAGAACTGCTGTTATGTTAGGATGGCACAAACTTTACAAGATCCAGTGACCCTCATGCTAAATTTTAGTCCAGATCATGACGTTTCTAATGAACCTTTCAACAATGAACAATGAGTAATGCTTTTTAATACTCACAAAACAGCAAAGCTATGTAATTAAAGTTCAATGAGCTACAATGCTGTAATGTAGGTCAATTGTCTGAGCTAGTTAACAGAATGAACAAAACACAGCTTAAAACACCCCTGAACACCTGATACTGAGATTCAGTCTGTGTAGAGATGAGCAAGAACAAACGAACAAGTCCAACAGAAGCTTCAGGTAGAAGCAGTGATGTTAGCTCGCCAATGGAACAGGAGCCTTTAAGAGGCAAGTTTAGTAATACGTAAGTGTTCCTAGCCGCTATGCAGAGCTTTGTAGCTGTACATGTTAAAGCTGCCTGCTGCCATTTGATGGCAGTATAAAGAAGCTTGAGGCTAATGTTGTTCAGGCTTTTTTAAATAACGTGCAAGTCTTTCAACCAGTCTTCTTGTACCTGTCAAACATAACTGCTTAGCTTTTGACCTAAACACAGCTTTATCAACCTGTTGGTTGGATTCCCATAATCCACAGGTGTCGAACTCCAGGCCTCAAGGGCCGGTGTCCTGCAGGTTTTAGATGTTTCCTTGATCCAACACAGCTGATTTAAATGGCTAAATTACCTCCTCAATGTGTCCTGAAGTTCTCCAGAAGCCTGGTGATGAACTGATCACTTGATTCAGGTGTGTTGACCTAGGGTGATATCTAAAACCTGCAGGACACCGGCCCTCGAGGCCTGGAGTTCGACACCCCTGCCATAATCCTTCTCTATGTGTAGGTGAAGAGACACATAAATGAACCTTAAACTAGGCCTTACCCAGTCTCACCTAACTGATTTGTTGCATGAAATGACATCACAGTGTATGCACACTCGAGAAAACACAAAAACATCTCAATACCAGCTGGCCCGTGGAGCAGATGCCACATGTTATCCAGGTACCGATATCATTGTTATACTAGTAGTAAACAGAGCCAGTGCTCCCTCAGCGGATTTAATCTTACCATTTGAGAACAGCGCCCCCTGTGGAAAACTGAGTTCATGGCTGTGTTCTGCTTCACAGGAGTAAAGAGCTTTAGCGTCCCTAAGAAAACAAAAAATAATTTAAAGTCAAAGTCAGTAAAGGGGAGTTTTTGTGTGCAAAGATGTGGCAGCTTAAAAAGTAGAGAAACCTCAAAGTTAATATACCTTCCAGTGGAACACACGTCTAACGCTGAGGAGAATATTGAACTTTCGCGCTGCGGCAGTCTCGCTGATAATCTGTCACACACAAACACAAAACTATCATCTGCGGTACGTAACTTGAAAAACATTTCCTGAGATAATTTCCATCTTTAATTGAGGGTCAATAAGTGACCAGGTCTGGGTTGAGAGCACCATCTAATAACAAGCAGCTAAACTGTCATTTTAATAATTTTAATAAATGATTCAGGCTGTTCCTCAGCCCAGACAAGAAAGAAAATACTCTAAGAAACTTTAATTTAAAGCCAACAAGCGCAATCCACAGCATTGATTGTTACTTTGAAATATTCTTTAACCTTCCTGCCTTCTTGGGACCTTTTTGTGCCACTGCTATGTGTTAAATGGCTGCCATTTCCACTGTGTTCAGTGGAATATAACCAAACTTGCCACAGGATAGTTTTTACCTGTCAATGTTAATATTCCAGTGTGAATTCCTTAAATCAGCCTAAAATGGCTGAGCAGCAGAAATCCCCACACCCATCACCCTGGGGACCATTTTCTGCCCATTGACTTCCATTATAAACGCTATTTTTCAACCCCAAATTATCATCATATGATTTTATTTTTTCTTCTTTTCTTGGATGTCAATGAAGACTCAGGGCCTTGAAGTTTTAATTTTTAAATTGCAAAAAAAATGCAAAAAAAATAATGGCAGGTCAAAATGTATGTTGGTGCCAATCTTTGGTCCATCTAAAGGCCTACTTATAATGACAATCACATATTACTTCAACTGGTTTTTTGTGGAAATATTTAGTTTCGTTTTTTGGTTTTTGGGGCTTATAACACAGGGCGCTCATGTAATAACACTGGGATTTGAAGGGTTAAAACAACGAAAATATAATTAAAACTTTACATGAATATTTCAGGGAGAAGTAGTTTTACAAGGTTGGCTAATTTAAAGTGGAATAAAATATGGATATATGGTCTTTTTATGGCGTGGCTGAGAATGGTCCCTAGGGTGATGGGTGTGAGTTTTTTAAAGGATGGCAGGAGGGTTAAGCCAGCAGCTGTTTCTTCAGTCAGCCATGCAGCCTGATTTTCTCCTGAGCTTTTGGTTCAAAGGTAAAACTGTGCGGTTAGACCACCTTGATATTAAATCATTTTACAGGCACTCACAGTGATCCAGGTCTCTGATAACCATTGCTGGACACAGAGTGTTTCGAGGTCAGATCAGAGCCACAGCGGATGCGTGAACTTTTACGCATGTGCGTAGCCTCCTGTGGGTCCAGCGACATGAGACTCTGCACCGATCCGTGACAGCTTTTGTAATCTGCGACAAGCCACACAAGAAATCAGAAGCAAACAAGGGACTCGTATTTATAGTTTATCTTTAAACTACAGCTTCGATTTTGCATTTCTGCAAAAGGCTGAGCAGGTGAACAGAGTTACGCACCCTCAGAGATGTGTAGGGAGGTGAGAGAGGAAGACGTGGAAAGCCGGTAGGGAAACAGTGAAGAGGAGGAGGACGATGAGGAGGAGGCAGTTCTGTAAGCAGTTCTAAGCTGCCGAGGAGAGGTAGAATCGGACACTTTGGTGTCTGTGACAGTGACACTGGGTGCATTTCTTCCATCCACCGAATGGGTGCTTTTCAGAGAGGAGACAGACGCCACCCTCTGAACTGGTCCAGCCTCCCTGAGCGAGGAGGCGCGCTCTACTGACGAGTTCTGGGCAGAGGAGGTGGATGTGGAGGCTCTGGAGGGAGATCTTGACTCTTTCCCAGAAGCCAAGGAGTCAACTGAGTTCCTTTTGATAGACTTCTCCACAGCAGAAAGTAAAGAGGATGTGGAGGAGGAGACAGAGGACGTCTGCTGAGTTGGAGTGAGCTGAGTGGATGTCCAGGATGCAGAAGGCAGGAGGTGGGGGGAGGAGGCACTGTCTGTCGGGGGTTTCTGACCTTTACCGTTTTGTGGCAGTGAGCAAGAGGAAGCTGCAGCAGGAGAGGATTGTTTTGACGAGGGTGAGCTGGGCTCAGCAGCAGGAGAGGACGGAGGTGAAGTTTGAGACAATCCGTTCTTTTCAGAGGAGTGTGAGGACAGAGACTCCTGGCTGCCCATCGGAGTCGTGCTGGAGCTGCTACTGAATGTATCACCTAGAAGGAGAAATGGAAACAAACCCTTCAAATAAGACTTTCGAAATATTAATGCATTAGCCTGTCATCTCACTTTCTCACTGACTTATTCTAGTAATGCAGCTAAAACTCTTTGAAAAAAAATTTCTTGGTTCATGCTTTAATACCAGATTTACCAGTAAGAACGCTCAAAATGTTTTCGACATCAGCCATAATTTAATAATGTGTGTATTTATGTTATTCATATAGCACTTTTTAAATGAGATATTAAGTGGTTTATAATTTAAAGTGAGAGGAAACTGATGGTCACCCACTTATCAATGACACTACTCCTCCACCCCTGAAAAAGAGCAATAAATTGCACTGTACATTTTAAGAAATAAACTGCAAATATGACACAAACTAAAACTCATATATGCAATTAATAATTACTGTTTGTTTTTATCTCATCAGAAGTTTAAATAAACACTCCTTTTTTGTTTAAAAAAAGCACAATTTTCTGGCAATTATTTCATTTGGACTTTAAAGGTTACATTTAATTCTGTGGAGATATTTTGGCATTAATGAGATGCAGTTTTTAGGAGAACGGGTGTCAACTTACAGATATGGTCTTTTAAAAACAAAATAATTTGCAAACACTGCAAACAGCTGATTGGATCCATCAAAATGAGAGGCATTCTTCTATTATCTTCTCTCGAAGCAGCAGAAAATGGATATGTAGTTGCTTCCATTTGTATTTGAGCAAAATGTTTGACTTCATGTGTTTAGATACTGAGACTCACTGTCATTGTCTGCCAGGCAGAGAGCAGGAGGGTAAAGGCGGGCTCGTCTCTTTCCAGATGACAGACAGATGGCCTTGCTCCTGCGGGGAGTCGACCGAGAGGATGGAGCCTGAGGCAACGGCACTGACAGGTCTGGGGCCTCACTGAAGATCTAAGTGCAGAGTATACACTTACATTAAGTGTGTGTGTGTGTTTGTGTGTGTGTGTGCATTAAAGCGTTGGTGTACGTCTCTGTAAGCGCACCTTGTCATGGTTTTCAATAATAATCTCCACCACAATGTTCTGAAACTTGATGTTCATCATAGCAGCCACTGTCTCCTCCTGGGACCTCATCAAAGTGGGACCGAAGATCATTCCCAGGTTGGACACAGTCATCATATTTTCGTTGCTGTGAGAGGACACCCTGCACACACACAGACACGCAAACAGTGGGCAGTTTTATTTATGGCAAACAAACAGAAAAAATATCAAACAAAGCATTATGAAATCAAAATGTGCATACTTAAGGAGATGGTTGGTTAAGAGGTCCAACATTGTTCTGTTTTTTTCTGGTAACTTGTGTACAAGAGCATGAATGGCTCTCACTCTGTGGTTCAGCTCATCATATCCTTTAAACAAGCACAGGGTACACAGGGAGGGATGTGATTTGCTTCTGTTTACATCACATACAATACGTGAAGTGACAGTTTCAATCTAAATACTTCTAAAATGTTGTCTCTCAGGCTGTACTCTGTAATATAAAGAGGCGGTAAGATTTTACTTGCAGCCCTGATGAAGTCTTTATGCAGCCTGTAAGTCAGCAGTGGTTCTGCCAGGCACCTGCACACACAGAATGATAGAAATGAGAAATGTATAATTCATGAGGTGCATAACTAATAAAAAGGAGCTTTTTGCTACCTGAAGTAATCCTTGAGGCCACTAGTTATGGTCTTGGTGTCCCAGGCATCTGCCTCCAGCTGCATGTCAGAGGCAGCTGTAGAAGCTGTGAATAACAGACTTTTAAATATACCTGATAATCTTTGGAGTGGAATAAATCTTCCCTATGCACAGGAATAACAGGGCGTATCTCACCAAACACACTCGTCATCAACCGCTGGACCTTAGAATTCACTCCTCCTGTCCTGTAGAGTCCAAGAGTTGTAATGCCTGCAGGTTTTAACATATATTTCACAATAAGCTCTCAAAAGAATTCAATTTTTCCCACATGAACATTTTAAGGATGAGGAATACCTCTCGCTTCAACCAGCTCGATACACTTCTTAACAAATTTGAAGCCTGCCTCATTTAGAAATGCTGTAAATCACAAACACAAGATCAAGTAAATCTCTGAGGCACTCCGACACACATGCTCTAAGATGGTAATAAACAGAGAATTGAATACAAAGCTTTTCAGCACTTACTCTCTTCTTTTTTACTGAGCAATGATGGCAGAGTGTATATCTGAACAAAGAAGGACAAAAGGTTATTTAGTGCAAGAGCAAGAATATGAGTATAATAATATATCTAGGTGAGCTATCCTTGAAACCCCTTCCATTGGTAAGTTATTAATAGTGGATATTTTCATACAGGCTCCTTCCCATCCATTGCCTCCATCCACAGCCGTCTGTTGGCCTCTGAAAGCGCCTGCAGGGTGATCACACCCTGTCTGCAGTGAAAGGGAGGTTATTTTAGCTAAGAAAACTCCGGCAGCAAAATCTCTGTTTATTCAGTTCACAAATAATCTCTTGGTTTTGTTTTCATCTCACCTCTCCACCACCTCGATGTCGAAGCAGAAGCGTTTGTCTATTGAATCGGTCTTCCTTCGAACGCACGAGCGCAGCCTAAACATCTCTGGTGTATTGTGCACCACGCCGTTCTGTTAACAAGAAAATGTGCTTTCAGTATGTGCTATTATAGCCTAATAATGCATCTGACAAAGTTTGAGCTTTTGGTATAGTCAATAAATATTACTGCTCAATCCTTTTAGTACCATATTTGTGCTTTTGCAAGTCCTACTTTTCAGTCTTTGCTAAAATACTACAAATAAGTAGCTTTCACAGCTTCATGTTTTTGTAAATGTTTTAGTAACAAATTATTTTAGTTTTATTACACAGATTTCAAATTATTGAGTTCCCTGCTTGTTTTATTTGGGTTTAATTATTTGGCTCCTTTAATTTTTTAACATTCTTTTTGACTGTATTTATTCATCTTAAGCTATTTTAGTACACACTTATTTTTAATTTTTGTCTGTTATAACAAAGGCATTTCCTAACTTTTGGGATAAATAAAGTATATCTTATCTTGGTGTGTGCAGGAGGAAGGATGTTTTCAAAGCAGTGCTGGTGGACATTCAAGTAAAGAGCTGTGATGCCTAAACCTTATATGTCAGAGCTGAGCTGTCAGAAATCACAGACCACACCGAAGTAGTTTCAAAATTGGAAAGTGAGCCCAGTGCAGAAGCGTCTGATGACCATGTTTGGTAGTAAATGGGCTAAAACGTGTAAAAACACGGTGTGGGTTTCCTCACCTGTCTGCTGGCTGGTCTGATCTCTGTGTTGCTCATGGTGAACATCTTGGAGCTCCTTTCATAAGTACAGTAGTATCTGGTCCACACACTTCCCAGTGGACCTACATAATAGATAGAATACACATTTTCATGGAGCTGAACGTGAATGTTTTCAGTTTGAATGTGAGTCTAGGATCTTCTAAGAATAAGGGAGAGGACAAAGTATAAGAGTTGCATGTCTTACGTTTCTCCTGTATATACAGATATCCCTCCATGGTAAAGCAGCTGGGCGCTTTGAAGTCCTCTTCTGCAGATCTGATCCTCTTCATCAACCTCTCAACCTCGGCGCGTGTACTTTCAAAGTTATTGCGAGCCTTAATAACAAACACATGCATAATTTGTACAGGAAACCACAATAGAATGAGACTTGCTTGATGGTCATTAAGTATACAAATCTTTAAACAATGTAGTCAGGAAATGGTTTCTTCATCTAGTCTACATTACTACAAGAGTTTCTTTGTTAATCTGAGCTCATTTTCTCTTATATATTATTCAAAGCAGTGGACTGACTTTATATTTGCATTTTAAAAAAATCCAGCTTTAAAAAATAAAAAAGACACACAGGTTTTCACCTGATAGAGAAGTAGCAGTAGATATAATTTAAAAGACCTTACAAACAAACTTAAAAGTCTAAAAAAGTTTACGGGGCCCAGTACATTTTTGCAGTCTGGAAATAATTGATTAAAGAGAGCCTATTTAGATCACTTTCACTTTCATAATAGTTATATAGTGCCAGATGGATCTAAACCTTGTCTGTAAGATAATTTAATTAATGCCTAAAATGTAAATAAATCAGACAAAACACATCATAAACAAGTAAGCATTAAAGGCTCCAGATGTTTTTCAAAACATATGCAGTTAACAATCACTTACATTTTGCAGATTAAACTGAAGCTGCTGCTTATAGGGTTCAAACTCAGAGGCCAACTCGTATCCCTCATGGTAAAATGTAAACAACCCCTGAAGGAAGGCTAAAAGCTGGAGAGCAGAGGCACAGGAAAATGTTAGCTGGGGGCTTGGGAGTGAAGAGTATAATGAGAGGATTACAAAAGAATGATTGTCAGTCATCGACTCAATCATTCCAAAATAACTTCAGCTGGAGAAAGCCTCTCTATCTCTGTCTGTTGTTTGGTTTGCTGCCCTTGTTTACCTTACAACAAAGAGTTTCCTTTTCTGTCTGCCAGAAAAATCTCAGTGCAGGAAGTGCTGTTACAGCAACAGGAAGTGGGCTCTACTGATATGTATCATTAAACATGTTTATCACTAGGCAAACACTCCGTGTAATGTATACTTTTCAGAAAACGACTTTCTTTTTACTTTAAAACTGAAATTTTATAACTTGATGTTTATGACACAGAAGAGACTCATTACTTAATATTTTCCTGTGATGTCGCACTGGTGACTAGGTTTTCCCTCTACTGATCAGAGCAAAAAGTAAAGTGTGAACTGGCAACTCGACACAGGAAGCAAATACCTGATAATGATTTCATCGTGTTTCGTGTTACGAAAAGTGAAATTTCTATGGCACTTGTGTTATGTGAACTCACCGGCTCTACAAATTCAAACTTCTTTCTCTCCTGCACTTCTTGGATCTTGAAGACATACTGGAGAGACGCATCATAAAAAATCTGCCTGTCTTTACTCATCTGTGAGTCAGCCTGCAACAGATACAGCAGAAACACCACACAGTGTTTAGTGTATTTAATGTTTACGCTTTATTTATATGTAACAACTTATGTAGAGTTTTACCTCTTGCAGCTGGGACTCCTTCTTTTTGGAAGACAGACTGAGGTGTTTCTCCAGGACAGAGTAGTACCGTTCTGTTTCTTTGTCAAATTGCTTCTTTTCCTCCTGAAAAGAGTGAGGGATCCACAGACTTAAATAAATAAATAAATAAATACATTTAAATCTGCCAATAAAATGCATACAGTTTACATTTTAGGTAACACAAATGTGTCACACATGGACTTTTACATCTCTGTTAGCAGGGCTGAAAGTCTTAACATAACACATAACAGATGTGCCGTGGCCAGTGACGAAACAAGCATAAGTTACAGTATTTTATTCTTTTAATGTTTTTTTTTCACTTAAACCATAAACTACTATTTTAATTGTATTAATTTTAATTGTAATTGTATAAAGTTAACAAGAAAATTATCTTGGTCATTTTGAGGTTTAGACTGTTTGCTAGATATCCAGATCGGCAGCACAAGGATGCTGGAGCCTATTCCCACTGACACTGCATGAAAAGCAAGCACATGCACTGCATAAGTACTGCACAAATACACCGCTTTTGACTGAATTCAGAAATGCCATAAAGCTGATACACAGCATACAAAATGGAAACAAGAATAATGCAAAATTATTTTTTTGCAAGTAATTAAAATATAGTTTTTTTTATAAATGTAATTTCCAATGTAATTTGTGACTTTTTGCTGTAAAATGTAAATAAAGAATGTCTGTTCAGTTGTTCAAATTGAGGAACTGAACAGACTTAAGTGTTGTTCAGACTTAAGTGGGTTTTATACTTTCCACATCTGCGAATCTTCTTGGGTGTCTGTGAATTTCAATTACAATGCACCAACTACATATGCGCGTAGGCAGTGCAGTTTAAAGAAGTATAACTGGAATGATTACTCAGTCGTTGGGTCTCCAGTGGTCCGTGTATAATCGAGGCTTTAAAATATCTCATCATCTACATCTCTCCATGCTACCCTGTCGCACCTGGAGCACCAGGGGAGCTACACACGCCTCCTCTTTATTGACTTTAGCTCTGCCTTTAACACCATCCTTCCTCACAGCTGGTGTGCAAGCTGTTAACCCTAGGAGTCCCATATTCCACCTGTCTATGGATTAAGGACTTTCTGACAAACCGTACACAAAGGGTTACGGTGGGCCCCCACATCTCCTTTTTTTAAAAATCAGTCTTTTGTAATTATATTTAAACTTTTTCTCTTGACACCACAGGCTAAAACTTTATCATACAAAGTAGAAGCTATATATGAACATATTCCAGAAACACCACCATCTTCTCTGGGCTAACGCTTATTTGAAATGGACTGAGGCAAAGCAGAAAACTGCTCTGTGGTCAGACTAAAGCGGAGACACACCTTTATCTGGTTTGTTATCAGTGCTCAGCTCAAAAGTTTGAATCTCCTGGGGTGCGTCAGTGCCTGTGAAATTAACAGCTTACACATCTTAAAAGGGGCCGTCAATGCTGAAGGTTTTACAGCAACTTGTGCTCCCAGATTGTCTTTTCAGTGAAGGCCTTGGATATTTCAGCAAGACAATGCCAACTACTCAACCAGTATGGCTTCACAGTAGAAAAGTCTTGCAGTCCAGACCTTTCAGCAGCTGAAAACATTTGGACATTATGAAATAAAAAAATATGGGGCTGTTGAGCAGCTTTAACTGGTTATATTTGCAAATCACTGCGTTCCATTTTTTGTTTCAATTTCTCACATCGTCCTAACTTCTTATGTAATTTGTTTTATTCTACAGATAAAAGTTAGGCAGTCACTAAAGTTTTGAGTTTATCCTGCTGGAACTGTGAGTTTCAGTAGCACATTTTTTGGAAGAGACACACTAAAAATAGTTACGATAACATCTCTTTTACAAAAACAGCTGTAGCTCTCAATGCCACACGTGTATCTCTATTCTCTGAGAAGTGACTACTGGCATTTCTCACGCAAACACCTGCAACATTTCAGGCTGAGGAGTTACTTCCAGTAATACAAAGAAGTGAGCTTTGATTTCATTTTCAGGACTAGTAATCGACCACGTGATGCTGCTATCTACATCCTTATTTTTCACTGAAAAAGAAAAGAGGAAACCAAAAAATAGATAAAACTGGATTATACAACTCGAGACAGCTGCTGAAACCAGACACCAAACTCATTTTTTGTTTACACTGTCTGTCTGAGTTCAACCATCCCTCTGTCTGTGACGTGCTCCTTTTCTTGCCCTCCCAGCGTCCGTTCCCATGACCTTGTTGCTGACACTGGACTGTGATCCATCATTTATCTCGACAAATTGGATTCTCTGATCGCTGACTAACAACCCGAGCGGGACCAGAAAGAAGCAGAGTGATCTGTCTGATCACCACCCAGAGTGCTGCATACCAAATGAAAGCAACATCCATGTTCATAATCTACTCAGCAGTGACCCTTCGACTATAAGAAGAGGAGGTATACCTTTACAGCTCCAATCTGTTCCTTCCGAAACTTCTCGAGTGGTGAGATCAAAACATCATCAGCATTTTGGATCTAAGAGATGAAAACAGAAAATGCAGTCAGCTCAGTGTGTCATATCGAGTAAATATCGAGACAAGCAACATAAATAAAGCAACAGCTCCCATGAGGGCTTTAGCGTCTCACTCAAAATAGCTTTTATCAACTGGTCAGCAGAGGCTTGCCTTTTATTATTCTGAGAGTTTTACCTTAAAACAGGAAAATTTAATTCAAAATATTTCAAATCAATATGCTAACAAGACAATCTATCGAAAACTTCACCAAATTGTTGTATAAAAGCAAATTTCTGGTTGAGATTTACTCTATTTACCTTGTCAATTGTAAACTATTTAAATGGAAATTATTGAGAACAGAGGTAGCAAGGTATGTATATTTGAGCAAAGCAAATGATCTGAATAATCAAACACCTTTTAATGCCTACACTTTACCTGCTGCTGACATAACAAAAAAAAAAACAAAGCTTAAGCTTCATCACCTTGAAGAGCTGTTCAAACATCACAGTAACACCCAGCACAAACATTTAGTTATGATTTCGTCATGCTTGGCACATACAGTACTCTGCCAAAGCCTCAAGCCATCTCACATTCCTTTATATTGTGCCAAAGCCAGACTTTCTGAAGGTCTTTTAAAGCTTTTCTTTTGACATCGGCTCCTTTTTCACACATTTGCTATCCAGTCTTTGTATCTGACCATTTGCAAAATGACAATTATCCCAAACAAACTGCATACCTGGATAGAAAACACACAATGAAACACTATTAGTCATGGATTGGCCTCCCCACAATAATGTTGAACCTGGACTTCAACATCAACAACAACAGTGTGAGATTAGAATGGAACAAAAGGCAGCCAACATCCAAAGGATAAAAAGAAAAAATCTGATTGTCCTTCGAGAAGCCTGTAGAATTGTTCCTGAAGACTACTTGAAGAAAGAAAGCTTGCCAAAGAGAGTTCAGGTCTTGTTGAAGAATAAAGTTGCTCGGTGGTGATATCCAATTTTGACTATAAGGTTTGTCAGAAATGCCCTTTTTTTTTTTTTTTTTGCTTTATACAATGTATTCCTGTTGTCCTAGAAAAAGATAAAGACATGAGGGGTGGCTCAAGACTTTTGCACATCACTCTATTTAAAAACACTAGACATAAAACTGTTTTTTTGCCAGTAGTCATTGAAATACTGCAAACCAAAGAGCTCTGATGCAAAGTATTTCACAAAATATTGGCCAACACTGGCCTGTTTCATCAGAAAAATTACAGTAAAACTGCTGTAACATTTCTGCTGGTTGAGTTGCTGCAGTATGTATGAGAAACTTGTGAGTGAGAGGCTGTGGTACAGAGGGGTTATCAGAACTGAGGACTCTGGTGTTTACATTAGGTCTCTGCCCTCTTTAGTCAGGAGTCTATATATTGCAAATGTCGGTCAAATCTTACTTTGTTCTGTCTCAGTTGATTTAAGCATCAGACTATAAATATACCCCCACTCCCACATCATGACTCCACTTTCACTTTGACTTTCGTGCTGCCCTAATACCCCAAAAGAGATCTGGTTTCTTATTACATTCAGCTGGATGAAAGTGGAATCTAAGAGACTGAAGTCCATTGTCAGGTCACAATAATGGTCTTTTCAGGTTGGACGGGTAGGTATTTCAGAGGAACTCATTTGCTGGAATTTCCCTTAAACATAATAATGATAATAATGATGTTGTTAGAAGGGTTGGAGTAGTGCCACATTAAGTGGAAAAGCATGCAATCGAAATGCGTGCACACACATACACACTCACAAAGAGAAATGGGCAGTCAAACACACACACACAGGACCCTTATATGGACTTTCCCAGGCACTGGGGCTGTGCTCACGCTCACAGGGGAATTGGCAGAATAGGTTCCACATGGTGCCTCTGTAACCAGACCGTGCTCACAACCACAAAGACACACACATGAGGTTGCATACTATGCACATACATTGCACATGCGCACAGGTTTGCCTTCACACAGACTGTGCCAGACTCGAGTCACCCTGAAACAAAGACCTCTGACTGATGGAGGTTCTCTGAGTCAAAGACATTTCCCAAATTGCCATGGTGCACAAAGTGCTGTCGGTAAAACGTATTCACTAAAAAAAAAGAAGGTGTGAATCAGACTTGTGGGAACTGGACTGAAGTAGGAGCTCGAGGAAGTGACAGTGGCTAAGAATGAGTTCAGCTTTTAAACAGAAATCCTGTACATAGTAACTAATAGGGCTGCTCAATTAATCTAATTTTAATCACGATTACGATCTGGGCTTTCAACGATCCTTAAAAATGACTGAGCCGATTATTAGCCCCTCCCTCATTTATCCGCGACACCTTAAAGGCCGGTCCGTAAAAAGTATTGTCGGGCATAAACTGGTCCGTGGCGCAAAAAAGGTTGGAGACCGCTGATTAAGAGGACCCGAGGGAAGCTCGGAAAGCTAAGCAGAAGTTATTTGGAGAGGAGACTGACTGCCGTTGGTTGAAAAGAGAGGTTAAAAAAAACTTCAGTGGTGTTGCACACTATTTTATATTATTTTTTAAATTCATTGTTAACCCTTTAAATCCGGTCAGAGCAGCACGCTCCGTTTTGTGTAACGATTTTTAAATCCCTGTAGAACCTGAACCGTGTAAGCTAGCGCAATAATTTGTTTTGTATATGAAACCGGAGGAGTTGTACTTACATCTTATGCCATCAGCTTGTCCTCGGTCACGGTTTCCTTCCACATATAGCTTTGCAAAAATTGCATAAAAAGCGCTTGCAGGAACAAAAACATAATATTCCAGAAACATGCTTTGCCGATCCGATCAGCTGTTAGTAACACTTCCCACAGTGAAACAGACATCAGCGCGAACTATCGCATGTCCGCCATTTCCTGGCCGAAACTGGAAGTGACGTCATTTTCGCGGAAATGTAGTTTTTTACTTGTAGGCCTTAAAAACCTATACTGGTCATGTTTGACTTTTCTGAATAGTTTCTGAGATGCTTAGAACTCAAATTGCACTGCTGGAAATAGTTTATTTTGATGCACCTGCTGTTTTCTTTGCAAATTTGCATCATAGGATTGTTTTTTTGTTTTTTCTGCAGTGTATATAAAAATTGGTGTATCTCAAAAATAAAACTATGAAGACACTCAAAATAAATTTCCTGTTGTTGTAAACTATTTTTTGCAACTTTTTTGTATTTAAAGTTTTAAGGGATAAACCTCTTAAATTTCTCCAAGTAGAAATATATGTAAAAAACAAAACAAAAACTATTTTCAATTTTTTTGTAGTTTATTGCACTTTTTTGCAATTAATGTAGTTACTATGGACTTAATGCATACATATTATTAAAATATGGGCCATATCAGTTGTATAGCAACTTGAAATGCTCCCACAAATGGCACTACAACATGTAAAAAAATAATATAAGCTCTGGCGGACTTAGTTCTATGGTAGGTCTTAAAGGGTTAAATAAATATCGTCAAATAATCGAGATCTCAATTTCAGTGAAAATAATCGTGATTATCATTTTTGCCATAATCGAGCAGCCCTAGTAACTAATGACTTAAATCTTAATCAGTAATGGTGAATAAACATGTTTTTTTTTTGTCCACTTGGGCTGGTGAAAAAGTTGTGAACACATTTACAGTCACATATTGGGTTGATCATTAGCATTCATTTGAAATTGCTTTCTAGCCTCCTGGTGATCCTATTTTTAATATTTACTCCTTTTTTGGTCAGTGTATAGTAGTTAGTAAGGTAATGTACAGTGAGATGGTTTCAGCTCGGCTTGTGATAAAGTTCTGCAAACCTGAAGGAAGCCTCAGATTCAAGTGGTATTTTTTCCCTTTCATGCTGCCACAGTATTTTCAAATTCTTACTATTAAAAAAAAAATTACAGGTGCTTAAAGATGGGATGCACTTGCTGCTTTCTGCTGCTCAACAGGAGACATAGAGTGCGAACACATTTCTGGTTGGTTTAGACTTTGGTGATAGAAGTTTGGTTAATTTTTTTAAGAGATGAGCATAGTCAGCCAGAGAAAGATGACAGGTATAAATATCTACAAGAACAAACATCCTACAGTTAGTTATCAATGTATCAAACTGCTACCAAGTCTGTATTTCTACGCACCCACACTCAAATACAATCACACATTTTCTTACCAGACGTTTTCTCTCCTCTTCCATGGTGCTTAAGAGCTGAGAGAACTCCTTTAAAGACTGGGCTGCAAAATAAATAACACATCCCACTGCTGTAAAAGGCTTTGCATATCTTAAATATTGTGCAAGCTTGTGTAAAAAGTGGCATTTCTGTCTCACCTATATTGACCTCATCATCAGTCTCTGCATCTCCAATGCATTCAAACTGAAACTCCTGCAGAGACTGTGAGAATCGCTGTACAGCAAGAGAAAGACCTGAGGAAGACAGGTAGAAGTTCATTACGTCAACTAAAGCATTGTTAACAGCTGGATTACGGGTAACATCTTTAACTTAGCCTGTTTAGCTTTTTGCACAAGTTGCCATCAGCGGCCACCTGAAATGCTCCCTTTGTTCTACAGGTTGCAGGGAAAAATCACTTATTCCATCCTGTAATAAACCATTAATATATTTTCCTACAAGTCTCTTCAAGTGTGATGTAAATGAAGTGCCACACCCTGCAACAATCTCCTGTGTGTTTACGTGTCCAAACAACACTCCAATAATAGAGTTTAATACCACAGTTTATTCTCTAAGGCACACAAAATACTTGGCTGCATTCTGTCATTAACACACCCTGAGATTGTTGTGCAGGGCAGCCGCTGAGAAAACATCTTAATCATACCACTCCACTGCAAACTGGTAATAAAACCATTAAACTGTCATTTATATTTCTATCAGTGTACACCAGATTACTGCAAAAACTTTGTTCAGGTTGAATGTATGAAAACAACAAAACAACCACTTCATTCTGCACTCGATTTGGTGTCCAGGACTGTTTATGTCCTAGACTGCATTCGTGCAGAAAAATGTGCTTAATGTGCTTATTCTGATGAGGGTTTGTTTGGTGTCAAATAACTTGCTTTTGACTGGTTTTCAGGTTATTTCACATCTGTGTGGTCACAGAGCAGTCAAACACCTTGTGTGTTTAAGGTGACCCCCTCGTGTTCCCTCAATCTTACAATTCAACACTGTTAGGCACACACTTTTTCCAAAGTATGGCTTTTTACTTAGAGGCTGAACCAAAAGACATCATTTCATCAAGGTTCTCCTGAAGTTAACATGTGGAAATCACCACAATAACACAAACATTGGAGACTTTTGTGAAGTATAAACACAATAAAATATACAACTACAATAAAGACTCGAAAACCCTTAATAACTGTGTAAAACTAGTGGTAGGTGATTCTCAAGAGGTTTTTTTTTTCAGCTCAAAATGAGATGTGCCATTTCATGGATGAACTAAAACCTAGATTATTATCAGAGAAATCATCCTCTGAACAGTTAACAACAGTTTTAAAGGCTGCTGGGATTTTTTTTTTAAGAGAGAGAGGATGCATGAGAGTAAGACATCTAATGCGAAAAAGTACACATATTTACTTAGCAAGAGATTTGGAAAACATTCAAATAAAATATATCTCTCTTTCACTGATTTACTCTCAGCATTGGTAATATGTCCCACATTGTCCCTCACAAGCATACTTCTTGTCCTATATTTACTGTTTTTGAAGTCTGGTCATGCTTCTTTTAACAGAGGTTAAAACTCCAGCAACACTTGTGGTATTATTGCTTCACCCTGGTGAAAGCTGCAAGCTGAAATGTGGTGATCAAACAATAAAATTGAAGCTTCAGCCTCTTTAGACTTCATGTTCTTCTTCATCCAGTTCGGAAGTAGGTAAGGTTTTCTGACAAACCTCTGCCTTGTTTTGACCTTGTGTGTATACAGCTGGCAGCGGCAGGTGATGACCTCAGCCAACAGGTGAGCCAAAAACCCCACCCCCCCACCTTAATCAAACACTACAAACAACAAGGAGGTATATGCTGTTTGAAAGCTGTCATCAGGACAAGAATATGGCACCCAGTCAGTAACCCAGCCATGTGCCTTTATACTGTCAAATGAAGGTGTCAAAATTAATAAACACACAGTCATTAACGCGATCTTTGGGGGCTGACCTGTACTATGTAAGGTTATTTGATGGTGAATGCCATGAGACTGAGCAACCTTCTTTAAGACTTTCTTTGCATAGCATTTGCGTGTTCCAGTTATTTCCAACCATTTAATAAATACAAGGTATTCTGGGGCTGGCGTTTAAAAAAAATTGTATTCAGGAAAAACCCCAAATGTGATAATAATAAAGATTCATATGTGCAAAAATGTGAATATTTCCAGTTTTCCTCTGTTTTAAAGAAATTGAGAGTTTAGTGCCTTTAGGTTTAGTACTAATACCCAAGCAAAACAAGCTAAATTAACATTCTTCTGCCACTTTTAAAAAAAATACCCACTGTTTATAGAAAAAAAAAATCAAAAACATCACTGATATAGTTAATGTGGACATGGTCTTTTTATATATTTTCAGTAATCTAGCCGAAATCAGGTAACACCCAATAGTAGCTTGGTGGGTGGAGGTTAGGCGGTGGTCCTGCTGTTTTGGGCCCTCAAGGCAGTTGTCAGCTGTTTGCTGCTTTCTGCTAGTTAAAACCTGTATGTAACAGCAGACTACAATATTGTAAAGGTGACCTACATCAACAAATTAAGGTGAACAAATATTATTAATTATTAACTCGCGCAATAGCTGCTGTGTATATCACAGACCTACACTGTGCATAACACTGTAACTACCTTCCAAACTGTCCTGCTCATACTACACACACAAATGAAAAATGAGACACTCAAGGTTCAAGTCCCTACAGTGGTTCTGTTTGGAATGATACCCAGAGGACTTCCCTTTGGATCAGGTTGCATAAATCACTGCAAACTGTAAAGCACATTCGCTCCCAAGAATCAGCTATTAATCAGCGCGTACTTACTTTTAAGGGCAGATATGAGCATGTTTCCATCTTTGATGAGGTCTTTTATGAACCTGTTGGTTCGCTCCAACTCTATTTCATGGCACTGCAGCCGCTCTCTGAAATCCGGGCTGTCCAGGAAAGAATCACTGAACTCCAGCGTCGGCAGACCCATCGCTAGATTAATACACGCCGCTAATTACGAGAGAACAACAGCACGACGCCTTCTCTGCCTCCTCGGCGAGACACCAAACGGTGTTTCAGTGTGCTCCGAGCAAATTTCTCAGAAATTTCCTCCAGCTACTCTTTTTCATGCCTTTCTTACTTTTTTCCCAGCAGAACTTCCGGACACAAGAACACAACAGAGTCTCTGATAGAGAAGGCTTGGCTAAGCTATACAACGAGCTCCATGCAGCTTCTCTCCAGCCTTCTTACTGTCGCTACTTTCATATAAGGCGTCGCGCTGACTTCTTATTTACTTATTAGGTGAAGCAAAGCGGACGTACGGCCGTGCAGAGTAACTAACAGGGCTTAATGTTGGTCGCACCAAAGAAAGAAGTCGGCAAAGACTGGCTAACTTTGTCTACGGACGGATCCTAGTCTTGTTACTATGGGAACGGGAGACTCCTGCTGGCGCGTGCTGAAATTGGTGGAAAACTTGGCAAAGAATACAAATGGGCCGATAACTCTGTGATCCACAGGTTTTTAACAATATGAACACCAGCGGCAGCAACAACAACAATAATTTTAATAATAGAAAATACTCGAGCAAATTTTTAAATAAATTATTTTCCTATGAATAAATACTTAAATAACACAACAGCTCAAATTAAAGTCCTGAAAATCTGTTTCATTTCAGCGCGAATTGTCAGTATATTCCGGGTGAAGTGAAAGCGTTACAAGGAACTGAGTATGTCAGCTGATGTGTTAAAGGATTAAAAAGTACCCTGCCGTTTTTCCCTTTTTTTTCTCTTTTTTTTAAACCCCGTTTTCCTCACAGACAACTAGAGACGCCTAGATGTACTGTACATCGATGAGCCACCTCATTAACTACATAACTACAGGGTAACTAACACTGATTGCCTGTTACAATGCAGTGTTCATCTGGGATACTTTGGGTGCTGGCACTGGGTGGTGTTTTGACACTTACCAACCCACCTGGACATTGTTGCAGACCAGTCATGCATCCCATCGCAGTTACACTCCCCAGTAACAGCAGCCTCTACAAGTGGATGAAAACCAGACCACAAAAACTGCTCAACAAAGGTATTAAGCTACTTTCCCCAACAAAACAAGCCCACTGAGAATCCAGAGCACACCTGATCTATGGAGGTCCCAGGCAGCCAATAGGACCTAGAAACCAATCCACTGTTAACATCCCAGTGGTAGACTCCAGGAGAACACGTCCTACTGTATTTCAGTACCCCCAATGCATGACAACTAATGTGACCAGATCCAAATAAACGTAGGACCAAATAAATGTGGGACAAAGTGCAGTGACTATAAGGGAGAATGACATGGACATGTTACTCGTACTGAGCAATGGGTTAAAAATGTGCTATATCTGACTCAAACACACACACAATATGTAAGCTAAAGCTTGAGAATCAACCACTCCGTATCGCCATATAACCCCAACAGACCACTTCAGTCTCAGAGTGCTGGCTTACTCATGGTTCCTTGGGCATTTGAAAGTAGAAAGGGAGGCAGAGTCTTTGGCTTTCAAGCCTCTCTTCTATGGAACCAGCTCCCAGTTTGGATTCGGGAGATTTTGTTACCCTGCAATAGGTTTATGGTTCTGGGGGCTTTCCATGATACACAGAGTGTTTCTTCTTCACTCATCTTTTTTCGCTCTCCTTGTATTTGTACACTACTCTGCATCATTAAATATTAATACTTTCTGTCTCTCTCCCACAGCCTGTCTTTGTCCTGTCTCCCTCCAGTCATTCACACACACACACAGGGTCAGTTCAAGTGGCTGCCCCTCCGTGAACTTGGTTCTGCTGGAGGTTTCTTCCTGTAAAAGGAGAGCTTTTCCTTCCCACTGTCGCCAAGTGCTAATTGTTGGGGTTTTCTATGTGTTATTGTAGGGTTCTTACCTTACAGTATAAAGCACCTTGAGGAGGTTGTTCTTGTGATCTGGCGGTATATCAATAAAATTGAATTGACTGTGAAGCACAAATATGCTGTATTTATTTAAATTTCTTTCTCTCTTTCACACTTCTGTAGTCCCCCTTAATCTGGACATAACTGTTGAAAGTGTCATCTATTTCACATGCTATCCGATGGTTAAGTGATGACGTGACAAATCCTACTTCCGGGCCTAAAGTAGTCTGCGTTTAATATGGCTTTTGTGTTGTTAACATGTTTAATGTTTTGTATTTTCTTCTATTTAATCTCAAAAAGCTCCTAAAACAGTCAGTGATCACTGTTGACCTCCCTCGGCTTTTAAGCTCAGTTTTTAAAACCTTAGAATGTAACTGCAGCCCAGCCCATGCAGCAGTATATGAATGACTAACCTCGTATTGTGGATGGATTATCTCAGTTGTTCTCCTGGCTGAAGTTTGGTCCTTTTACAGCATCCTGCCATGCGATTACATTTGTTCCTGACCACCGAGAACACTCACGTTAACTTTTATCGAGTGGGAAAAAAGTTAGCTTGTTTATATTATGCTAACATAGCTGTGTTGCTAGCGGTCACGTAGCACATCATTATATACCAGCTAGCCCAACTTCAGTAACCCTACAAACGTCACTGCTGTTTAGCTTTCTGTCTTCATTTATGTTGGAAGTGATAGCAGAGCTGTACGTTTTCATTTGTTTCCAAAACCCGGCAGTCAGGACATGCTATATTGTATTTAGATAGAAGCTAGCGAGCTAACTCCCTGCTAACTTCTAACTCCGTTAAATGTCATAAATTCCGTTTTCATGGATGCCTGGATGTTAAACTCAATTGTTACACCTGGTAGAGCAGAACGCTGATCATTTTATTAAAGATGAAAGACTTTAGACAGTTTTTCAACGCTTAGTAATGCCATAGTTATCGTTTGATATATGGACCTGCAGCAGACTTTAGGTCCAGACACGGCTAGTGACGTCAGACTGAACAAGGAGACGACTAAGCTCCAGTTACATCAGTGCAAGTAAACAAACAATATATATAAGAAGAGTAAGAAAATAAATATACACTTTAGGACTAGGGATAAAGGGATCAATAACAATTTAAAATTTACAGTTTGATGATTTAAAGTCTCACACACAACCGAAAGGGGAGGAGGGGGCGGCTGCTTCCAAATAGAGCGCATTTCATTCATAATGATGTAAATCCAAGCCCATTATGTATTCATGATTTGAATCCTGGGTTGTGTGAAATCTCAGAAATGCACCCTAGACAAAGTGAATCTGTGAAAGGTGTGTTAGATCATGTTGTGGTGATCCTTGGGTTGAGGGATGGGTGTTCATACTGCAGTGCAAAATTAAAACCAATGGAAGATGGACAAGAAAAGTTCAAAGCCATCAGGTCCTCAGTTTAGAAAAAAGAGAAAAGAAGAGGAGGAGAAACGAGCAAAAGATACAGGTAAGCAGATGTGTCATTGGATAATGGCAGGTCATCCTGAAACAATCAGAATCAAAATACTTTATTAATCCCTAAGGAAATTATGTGGATTACAGTTGCTCCAAGAAGAAATGGTAAAAATAGTAACAGTAACGGACTAAACTCCAAACAATACATTATATTACAGATTTTAATATTAATTAGTCATTGTCAATTGTTGATTTGTTCTGTTCTCATTGTATGACGAATTATGATGGCTGTTTGGTAGCCGTTTGCATACTATGCATACTCTCTCTCTCTCTCTTCATATGTGTGTGTGTGTGTGTGTACAACAGCTTTATGTTAATGTACAAATATGTTTATGTGGTTTCCATGGTTTTTGCATCTTCTTTAAGTGCGCGTCATTCCATCTAGGATTTGGACAAGACTGGTAAGCTCTCAACTTGCTCTCCGTCTGATATGATCAGGGTTTTTTGTGTGTTTTCTTGAGGTTTTGCGACGCTGCGTGTTAAAGGCCTAGCAGCCGTCATTTAGCCAATGTGAGCCACTCTGTAAGAGCAGGTGGGAGGGAACAGCTGCTTCTGTTGTAAACGTGCTTCCGACTTGGAAATTTCCTCGGTCGAGTGGGTTATCTGGCATTTCCCCTCTTGAGTTTTCTAAACACTAATTTTTGTCGATATTTTAAGTTTGTTAGTTGGACAGAGTTAAATTAGATGTCGAAAGTTACTCTTGTCTACTGGTGTTTGTTATTTAAAAGGAATCTGACAAGATGATTCAAATAAAAACAAACGGTCAAAAACTAATATTTGGCTCTCACTTATGCTAGTCTGTTTTTGAATGTAAACAAATCATCCAATCTAACACAATTTCTGATACTTGTTTGCTGAAAGTTTAGGCGATGGTATGAGGGCAGTGTTTAATATAGCGTTATTTAACTATAAGCTATAAGAGACTTAGAGCTTTTTATTGTCATTGTGCAGTTTTTTGCACAGCGAAATTGGGTATAATCTGTTAATGTGGCTTTTGTATTTAGTTGTTGTTGCCCAAACTCACTGTACTGCTACCTAACCAGTGTAGGATTGATGTAGTATTTAAGTTTTCTTTCCCTTTCCCTTTTTCCAAAATAACAATGAGTTGTTGTTGTTTTTTTTGTTTTGTTTTGTTTTCAGTTCATAAACATATGTGTCTATGTTCCTAATGCAGCTATGAACAATGACCATAGTTGACAGATCTTCAGAAAAGTCTGACCACGAGTCAGCCGGACTCGGACCTGGAGCTGCTGTGTACAACAGTACACCCTCCTCTGAGGACCAGCCCAAGGACCAAGGGGCTGGTCCTCAGAGTACACCCTCCTCTGAGGACCAGCCCAAGGACCAAGGGGCTGGTCCTCAGAGTACACCCTCCTCTGAGGACCAGCCCAAGGACCAAGGTCAGAGCAAAGCCTGGCTTTTTTTCAAAATGTCTTTTTAAGCTGTTTGAAGATTTTTATTGTCAGACAGAATAGTTTTCCAACCAGTTTTAGCAAATATGGAACCACACTTTTTAGCCATTATTTACCCATATTTGTCAGAATTGGTTTTAGTAACGTACAGCTAATCTTTTTGCTTCTGCTTTCACACAAGTTTGACAACTGCTTTTGTGGGTGTTGTGTTGCTGCTTCCCTTCTCCGTTCATTCATCCAGTTATGTAATGCATCCAGCTTTGCATGATCAGTCACTTCAGCTCGTGATGCAATTGCTGTTTTTATATAAAGACCGGCAGCCCAACTTGTTTAGCAGAAACAAAGGAGAAGGCAAATTGTCCTATCTTTCTTCCTGAGGCTGTTTAGGAGTTTTTCACAGTGGCCAGAATCACATTATATAACTGTTAATAGTTGTAGCTATTACTGTGATGTCCTGACATGACTTTGCCATGTGCCAGTGTGTGGTTGTATAAGTAAGGTGGCATTAAATTATCTCCTTTTTAAAATGTATTGAAACAGATTTTTAGTAATAATTGTGGCTCTGTGTGTCAGTGATCAGCAGTGGCGATGGAATTGACTTGCCCCAGAAGGTGCTGTTCTCACCAGATCGGCTCAGCCTAAATTGGGCCCAGGTTCACCTCATTGGTGCAGGCCTCCAGAACATGGGGAACACCTGCTTCCTCAACTCAGCCCTGCAGTGTCTCAGCTACACCCCTCCTTTAGCAAACTACATGCTGACGCGGGAGCACTCCAAAACATGTAAGTTTATTTCACCAACAGTGGTGTTACGCAGTCCTGCGCTGATTCTCACATTGTATCACTCCTTACTCACTCAGTATTTTGTCTCTGTCTCTGCTGCAGGTCATGAGCCAGGGTTCTGTATGATGTGTACCATGCAAAACCACATCATTCAGGTTTTTACCAACTCTGGGAATGTCATTAAGCCCATTGGTGTACTCAATGAGCTTGGGTGTAAGTGGATGACTGTTGTTGCTGTGCTCTGTGCAAAGTGTTTACCTATATTTTAATGATAGGAGGCGCTGTGTGACTGTTTACCTTTTGTAATTTTGGAGGGAAATAATCTGGAGGGATTTTGAATTCTGTTTTTAAATAAGTGTAAACTTGCATTTAACTGTGGTATCCTTTACAATAATTCACCTCCTGCTTTGTTTTTTGGTTCTGTTTTTCCTCGGTCCCCTCACACAGGGATTGCAAACCACTTCTGCTATGGAAGCCAGGAAGATGCTCATGAATTCCTGCGGTGCACAGTGGATGCTATGCAAAGGTCCTGCTTACCTGGAACCAAGTGAGTGTCATTTTACATTGCATGCATTCTAAACAAGTTAAACACACAAAAATATTTTTACTTGGGCTTGACAGTGTTTGCACTTTATTATGTAGTAAGATCCATAATTAGCTACGTAGAGGTAACACCGTGACAGTAGGAGAATATGAAATAAATCCTTTATCCTGTTTTTCAGGAAGTGCAGTTTATACTAGTTCCTTTTAACTATTAATGCTTCAATTGCTGAGAGTATTTTTCAGAAATGCAGATTCCTCAGTCTCTTGCCTGACTGACACCTCAGTTTACATACTAGGCAAGCCACTTGATATAATACCTCATTATTATATCAAGTTTTTTAATGAACTTGACTGCTCCAACACAGAAAGTATTCTTACACTGGGTGTGGTAGCTTGTTTTGGTAACAGGGCTTGAAAAGATCAGAAGCGGCTTAAACGTGTAGTAAAACAGGTGTCTGGGATTATGGCAGAGAGCTGCCAGACTTAGTGTCTAGTATAGATTTCTTCTGAGGCAACAGGGTAAGCAGTGTGAGCAGGAGCACTCAACCCCTCAGGTCATCTCTTATTCACCCTAATGGCATTAGTGCTATTATTGCAGCAGCAAAATTCAGAAAATCCAGGTTTTTCTATGTGTTACTATAGAGCTTCGAAGTCTATGTGCACATTTAACCAAAACTACACGTTTAACAGATGCACTGGGCTGAGTGTTGTGCTTCTTGTTAGACTCCTAAAAATAATTTATTAATTCATTTATTTTTTTAAGAACCTAAAGTGTCAATTCTCATCAAATCAATTCTTCCCGTGTAGCAGCAGATGGCCTCTTAAGTAATTAATCGTGCTCCAATTCCTCCTATTGTCTTTTCTGCTACTTGAATACTGTAAAGTGATTGTCTGGTTCCAAAATGCTAAAAAATAAATGGTCAGTCAGTTAATTGTTGCACTGTCCTTATTAGTTAACTTTTGTGCTTTATCTTTTTATTATAGATTGGACAGGCAAACGCAGGCAACCTCTTTCATCCATCAAGTGTTTGGCGGGTACCTAAGATCCAGAGGTAAGTCACTGTTTTTTAAGGTTTGATTTATTTTTCTTTTATTTGTCTTTTTATGTCTTACAGCTTGTGTGATACTCATAGCACTGATTTCTGTTTCAGTTAAATGTTTAAACTGCAAAGCTGTCTCAGATACATTTGACCCTTTTCTGGATGTCACTCTGGAAATTAAGGTAATTGGACAACATTCAAAGTGACGTTGCTACTATGTATTCTCTGCATTATGGAGTGTGAGGTTTTTCCTCTCTCTCTCTGTTCATATAGACTGCTCCAAATGTCTCCAAAGCTCTGGAGCAGTTTGTCAAGCCAGAACAGCTGGGTGGTGAAAATGCTTATAAATGCACCAAGTAAGTCAAAGAGATGCCAAACCATGATGAGTTTTAGTGTTTAGGTGTGATTTTTGTCAACAAGCTGAATGTTTGTTTCCTTCAGGTGCAACAAAATGGTAACGGCCTCAAAAAGATTTACAATCCATCGCAGCGCCAATGTGCTCACCATCTCACTCAAACGCTTTGCAGACTTCAGTGGAGGCAAAATCACAAAGGCAAATGGCCAATAGTGTCTGCTTAAGTCATAAAGATACATGACAGATGCTTTGTTTTATTATAAAACAGGATATTTGCATGTAATGTTTGAATTTTTTTGTTTGGTGGTCATCAGGATGTGAAGTATTTGGAGCATCTGGATCTGCGGCCCTTCATGTCGCAGTCCCACGGGGAGCCCCAGCTCTACAGGCTGTATGCTGTGCTGGTTCACTCTGGATTGAGTTGTCATACTGGACACTATTTCTGCTATATTAAGGTACTGGCTGTGCCCGAATCTGTTTGAATGCTGCTGTTGCGTAGTACAAACAAACAAACACCATAAACAACACATTTCAGCAGAAAACTACTTTGTATGCATTGAAAGAAAGAAAAAAAGACCCCTATATAACCATAAGATTCTTCTTTTTAGCTCAAATTCAATTCAGAAACTGAATCTGCTGTGTCACATCTCTCTCATTCTGTCTCACAGGCCAGCAATGAGCAGTGGTTTCAGATGAATGACTCGTCCGTGTCAGTCAGTGACATTAGCACTGTTCTCAACCAGCAGGCCTATGTCCTCTTCTACATCAAGTGAGTAAACATCGGTATTTTTAAACATTCTAGGCTTATTCCTTCAGTAGAACTTTTCCCATCATTATTTAATAATGTAGACATGTTTATTCTCACTTTTCTTGTAGAAAATGTATTATTATAACCTAATGTTATAATGTTGATGCTTTGTCATGGTTAATATTCTTTTTTCCATGTCATCAGGTGCACAGATGTGGGAAAAACTGGGGACTACAGCCACTTGAACCATAACGCTGGCATATCTGGTCAGGCATCTCCCCAGCCGGTGGTGAGCCCACGCACCATCACCACCATGCCTCACAACAGTGTTGGCTTCATAGGTCCCCAGCTGCCACCACACATGAACAAGGTACTTCCTCACCTGAGGGTACTGATAATGTTGTTGTTTTTGTTAAACCCAGTGTTTCATGCAAAATACATTTGTACCTTTCAATTGTGTCTGTTTGAAAAGAATGAAATGATATCATATATTCCTTATTGGCCTACATTTGTACAAAATTCCAAATTATATACACAAAGTCATAGAAATCACTGCTCCAATTGGTCATCATGATTTTAATATTCTCTTTTTCCATAACAATGAAATACGCCTTGGACAAATATGACACGTCAATATTTCATTAGTGTTGTCACATCACATCCTGTAAGCATCATCTGTCTGTGTCCTTTCTCTGGAAATTAATATTTCCAGCCAATATAGGCAATCCATCAACATGGCTGGAGAGTTGGTAGTTATATGCAGTCTGTATAAGTGTGGTTAATCCAATGAAGATTTGTAAGGAGATGGCAGTTACTGTGAATTTACAGCAGTTACACAGTGATTAGTAATAAACAGAGCCAGTGAGAGTGAGTGGATATAAGAAAGTCAGTGACTCAGGTGTGTCGATTGGTTCTGTTTGTGAGACTGGAGGAGACGTAGAAATCTTTTGTTTTAAATCTTAGTTAGGAAGATTCCTGTTTGAAAACAAGCACTTTTTGTGAGAAATACAAGAAGTACATCTGCAGAAAGCACACAGTTACATTCTGTCCATCATGTGGACAAAATCGAAAATGTTGAGCATTGAAAAACTGAGAACGTTGGGCAAGTTCAAAATACGTGTTTGTAAGAACGAAAAACCAAATTGTTCCTAAAATAGTTATGGAAAGTCACTGTTGTATGTCTGTGTTCTACATGTTTATCTGATGGAAAATAAAGGTGCTATTGTTTTATTGCAGTTTCTTGACAATTCTGAGTGGATTTACACAGTATGGGTCAAAATGACCCGCAACAAAATCAATGTCACTTTTTTGTTTTTCAACATAATACAAGGGTTAATTTCCAAAACTTCCATATGATCTTCAATTTGTAGCAGATCCACTATCACACAGCAGCTGGAGCAGTTTCAAATGGAGGTCAGTCCACTGCTGCCACCTGTGGCCAAGTACCAAGCCTACCATAGCCTACTACTAGATTAACTTGCTATGATGACATTGAGTAGAGGCTGAGTGGCTGCACTTACCCCTGGTACATCCAAATCTACCCACAAACATGTTGAAAGATGCAATGGCAGCAATGTGGCTTGTCAACACTGAAAACAATCAGTAAGCAAAGACAACAGGGATCACTTTTTTCTGTTTATTTAACATGCACAACATTTGTAGTCGCCTTCTGCACAGGGGAAGTCCACACACACTGTGCGGTACCACTTTCCACAGAAGGTGCATTCAATCTACAAGACTGAATGAGAAAGTCAGGGTCATTGTCTGACTGTTTATTACTAATCACTGTGTAACTGCTGTACATTCACAGTAACTGCCATCTCCTTACAAATGTTTATTAGATTAACCACACTTATACAGACTGTATATAACAACCAACTCTAAAATGTTTGTGCATGAAACGAATTCAGACGTGCTGCAGATGTGTGTCACAAGTTGATCTGGCTGTAGGCTGTGGCACTTGGCCAGTGGTGGCACTGGTTGACTCGAGTCCATGTTAGTGCACACAAAGTAAACTGCTCGCTTTAGTTGTGAAGCAAAAACGCTGAATTCGGAGAAACAAACCGTGTGAGGGGAACGATAACGACAACAAGAGTCTCCCGATCGTTTACTCTTGTTGTCCTGTGAACAACATCGGCATGGTGTTAATTGTTTGCTGTTTTCGCGATCGCGTCGCGCATGAGGATAACCCTAGGTAAACTCGCCACATTTTTAAACATTTTGTTGTTCAACAGCATCAAGACTGACGGAGTGTGTTTGAGATAACCTCACAAGTGTCACAGATGACACATTTGGCGTTTTTTTGCTAGTCTGTAGGTAGCAGCTCCTGAAACAGAAGTCTGCCACACATCTGTTCGACTAACGCCAGTTGATCTAAACGCCAGTAGATCTGGAACACCGGCAGCCTCGCCTCTGTCAGTGCGCCTCAGGGCGGCTGTGGCTACAATTTAGCTTGCCATCACCAGTGTGTGTGAATGGGTGGATGACTGAACGTGTAAAGTGCTTTGGGGTCCTTAGGGACTAAGTAAAGCGCTATACAAATACAGGCCATTTACTTAATGCTGAAATCTAATCTATTGTATTAAATGGGTATGCTTATAGTTTGGGTAATTTTGTTATGTCAACAAGTTCTGTTTTAAAACTTAATCTCTTGTTAACTGTTCAGATTGCTGAGGTGATTGATGATCGACCTGAGGAAGTGAAACAGATGGAAGTTTTTAGGACCAGCAACAGATGGAAAGCAATTGGAGGTAAATAAGAAGTCACAGAAGTAGGGGGGGATTTGTGCAATATTAAGTTAAGACTGTTGTTTACTATAGTTTTACTTCCTCTCCTAAAAGTGGATCAAAATGATGACACAGAGGAAGGAAATGGAAAAGAACATCAAAATACAGAGGCTGGCTCATTAAGCAGAGGTCTACATGACTCACCCGAGTTGTCTTCAAAGAGAAGAGGACAGGATTCTCCTGTCAAAAAGACCCGGCATGACTCTCCAGACATCTCTCCACCAAAGAGAAGTCGGAAGTACTCTCCGGATGTCTCTCCTCACAGGACAAGACGTCACGACTCTCCTGATGTCTCTCCTCCCAGGAGAAGACGTCATGACTCTCCAGATGTCTCTCCTCCCAGGACTAGACCTCACGACTCTCCAGATGTCTCTCCTCCCAGGAGAAGACGTCATGACTCTCCAGATGTCTCTCCTCCCAGGACTAGACCTCACAACTCTCCAGATGTCTCTCCTCCCAGGAGAAGACGTCATGACTCTCCAGATGTCTCTCCTCCCAGGACTAGACCTCATGACTCTCCAGATGTCTCTCCTCCCAGGACTAGACCTCACGACTCTCCAGATGTCTCTCCTCCCAGGACTAGACCTCACGACTCTCCAGATGTCTCTCCTCCCAAGAGAAGACGTCACGACTCTCCTGTTGTCTCTCCTCCCAAGAGAAGACGTCATGACTCTCCAGATGTCTCTCCTCACAGGACTAGACCTCACGACTCTCCAGATGTCTCTCCTCCCAGGAGAAGACGTCACGACTCTCCTGATGTCTCTCCTCACAGGACTAGACCTCACGACTCTCCAGATGTCTCTCCTCCCAGGAGAAGACGTCATGACTCTCCAGATGTCTCCTCCAGGACTATACATCACAACTCTCCAGATGTCTCTCCTCCCAAGAGAAGACGTCACGACTCTCCTGATGTCTCTCCTCCCAGGAGAAGACGTCATGACTCTCCAGATGTCTCTCCTCCCAGGAGAAGACGCCATGACTCCCCAGACTTGTCACCACCAAGACAGTGTTCAGGAAAGTCAGAAAAAATGCAAAGTAAAGGTCAGTGATCCATTTAAATTGTAAAGTGGAATCTGGTGTGGCATATGAATAAAAGTAAAAAGCAGAGACCCATTTAACATGAGTTTTGAATTGAAATTTATTTTAAAGACATAGCTTGATCTAATAATAAATCATTAATTTTTGTCCAAAAGGCATTACAAAATGAAAATTAACAAATTAACTGTGTCTTTGTCAGATTCAGCCTCCAACAAAAGCAAGCTCAGCTCATCCTTGTTAAGTAAAAAACGCTCACCGGATCCTCATCGGTCAGCGGTGGCTAAGAAGGGTCAGAATAGACATGATTCAGACTCGGATCCGTCTCCCCCGAGGAAAAGGCCCCTGAAGGGAAACGCCTCAGACTCCGACCAATCTCCCCCAAGGAGGCCCTCAAAAACTAAACGGGGCTCAGACTCTGACCAGTCTCCACCCAGGGGGCAGCCACCGAGTGGAAGGGACTCGGATGGAGATTTGTCACCACCTCGTAGGCCAGGCCAGTCACAGGTAAGCAGACTGTGTTGGAACAAAGATTAATGTCAAATCTGATTTCACTCAAATGTTATATTTTTCAATTGTCTTTTTTTTTTTTATAACCAGGGCCAAAGGATGCTATCTGGTGGAAAGGCAGGCCTGGTTTCTGTGGACATTTTAAGGAAAGAGCAAAAGGAGAACAGACGCAGAGAAAAACACAATCAGCCACTTGAAGGTTTCATCAACTTTTCTCTCTTAAGATTTTTTTACACCCATTGATTGAAGAGCTTCATACAGCTTTGCATCTCATTTCAGCTTATCATCTATATTGTCGTATTTTATTTAGTCCTAAAATTAAATAATGAAGTTTCTACATACTTACCCATTCATCCCCTTTGACCAGATGAATCGCGTAAGGCTCAGACGATTTTCAGAGACAAAAGTGGCAAAAGGAGGGATCTGGATTCAGAGAGAAATGAACAGAAAAAGAAAGCTGGTGAAAAAGCGGCAAGAGACGAGAAATACGCTCAGTGGGGAAAACGGTAAATGTGCATGATCATTTCAAATATCACAGTTTATGTGATTATATCCACATAAAAAATTATAAAAGTGGTTCAATGGTTTATGTTAAAATGTATGTATAGGTTGGCACAGATCCAGATGCATCACCAGAAACTTAAGGAAGCGCTGCGCGAAGCCCTTAAGCCACTTGAGGATCTTGACCGCATGTTGAGAGAACAGGAAAGAGAAGGCGATCCTATGGCTGCAATGCGCAGGCGTAAAAAGGACCGTGGCACAAAAACACAAGATATTTAACTCAAAGAGAAGAGGACAGGATTCTCCTGTCAAAAAGACCCGGCATGACTCTCCAGACATCTCTCCACCAAAGAGAAGTCGGAAGTACTCTCCGGATGTCTCTCCTCACAGGACAAGACGTCACGACTCTCCTGATGTCTCTCCTCCCAGGACTAGACCTCACGACTCTCCAGATGTCTCTCCTCCCAGGAGAAGACGTCATGACTCTCCAGATGTCTCTCCTCCCAGGACTAGACCTCACGACTCTCCAGATGTCTTTCCTCCCAGGAGAAGACGTCATGACTCTCCTGATGTCTCTCCTCCCAGGACTAGACCTCACGACTCTCCAGATGTCTCTCCTCCCAGGAGAAGACGTCATGACTCTCCAGATGTCTCTCCTCCCAGGACTAGACCTCACGACTCTCCAGATGTCTCTCCTCCCAGGAGAAGACGTCATGACTCTCCAGATGTCTCTCCTCCCAGGACTAGACCTCATGACTCTCCAGATGTCTCTCCTCCCAAGAGAAGACGTCACGACTCTCCTGTTGTCTCTCCTCCCAAGAGAAGACGTCATGACTCTCCAGATGTCTCTCCTCACAGGACTAGACCTCACGACTCTCCAGATGTCTCTCCTCCCAGGAGAAGACGTCACGACTCTCCTGATGTCTCTCCTCACAGGACTAGACCTCACGACTCTCCAGATGTCTCTCCTCCCAGGAGAAGACGTCATGACTCTCCAGATGTCTCTCCTCCCAGGACTAGACATCACAACTCTCCAGATGTCTCTCCTCCCAAGAGAAGACGTCACGACTCTCCTGATGTCTCTCCTCCCAGGAGAAGACGTCATGACTCTCCAGATGTCTCTCCTCCCAAGAGAAGACGTCACGACTCTCCAGATGTCTCTCCTCCCAGGAGAAGACGCCATGACTCCCCAGACTTGTCACCACCAAGACAGTGTTCAGGAAAGTCAGAAAAAATGCAAAGTAAAGGTGAGTGATCCATTTAAATTGTAAAGTGGAATCTGGTGTGGCATATGAATAAAAGTAAAAAGCAGAGACCCATTTAACATGAGTTTTGAATTGAAATTTATTTTAAAGACATAGCTTGATCTAATAATAAATCTTTAATTTTTGTCCAAAAGGCATTACAAAATGAAAATTAACAAATTAACTGTGTCTTTGTCAGATTCAGCCTCCAACAAAAGCAAGCTCAGCTCATCCTTGTTAAGTAAAAAACGCTCACCGGATCCTCATCGGTCAGCGGTGGCTAAGAAGGGTCAGAATAGACATGATTCAGACTCGGATCCGTCTCCCCCGAGGAAAAGGCCCCTGAAGGGAAACGCCTCAGACTCCGACCAATCTCCCCAAGGAGGCCCTCAAAAACTAAACGGGGCTCAGACTCTGACCAGTCTCCACCCAGGGGGCAGCCACCGAGTGGAAGGGACTCGGATGGAGATTTGTCACCACCTCGTAGGCCAGGCCAGTCACAGGTAAGCAGACTGTGTTGGAACAAAGATTAATGTCAAATCTGATTTCACTCAAATGTTATATTTTTCAATTGTCTTTTTTTTTTTTATAACCAGGGCCAAAGGATGCTATCTGGTGGAAAGGCAGGCCTGGTTTCTGTGGACATTTAAGGAAAGAGCAAAAGGAGAACAGACGCAGAGAAAAACACAATCAGCCACTTGAAGGTTTCATCAACTTTTCTCTCTTAAGATTTTTTTACACCCATTGATTGAAGAGCTTCATACAGCTTTGCATCTCATTTCAGCTTATCATCTATATTGTCGTATTTTATTTAGTCCTAAAATTAAATAATGAAGTTTCTACATACTTACCCATTCATCCCCTTTGACCAGATGAATCGCGTAAGGCTCAGACGATTTTCAGAGACAAAAGTGGCAAAAGGAGGGATCTGGATTCAGAGAGAAATGAACAGAAAAAGAAAGCTGGTGAAAAAGCGGCAAGAGAGAGAAATACGCTCAGTGGGGAAAAGGGTAAATGTGCATGATCATTTCAAATATCACAGTTTATGTGATTATATCCACATAAAAAATTATAAAAGTGGTTCAATGGTTTATGTTAAAATGTATGTATAGGTTGGCACAGATCCAGATGCATCACCAGAAACTTAAGGAAGCGCTGCGCGAAGCCCTTAAGCCACTTGAGGATCTTGACCGCATGTTGAGAGAACAGGAAAGAGAAGGCGATCCTATGGCTGCAATGCGCAGGCGTAAAAAGGACCGTGGCACAAAAACACAAGATATTTAACTCAAAGAGAAGAGGACAGGATTCTCCTGTCAAAAAGACCCGGCATGACTCTCCAGACATCTCTCCACCAAAGAGAAGTCGGAAGTACTCTCCGGATGTCTCTCCTCCCAGGACTAGACCTCACGACTCTCCAGATGTCTCTCCTCCCAGGAGAAGACGTCATGACTCTCCAGATGTCTCTCCTCCCAGGACTAGACCTCACGACTCTCCAGATGTCTCTCCTCCCAGGAGAAGACGTCATGACTCTCCTGATGTCTCTCCTCCCAGGACTAGACCTCACGACTCTCCAGATGTCTCTCCTCCCAGGAGAAGACGTCATGACTCTCCAGATGTCTCTCCTCCCAGGACTAGACCTCACGACTCTCCAGATGTCTCTCCTCCCAGGAGAAGACGTCATGACTCTCCAGATGTCTCTCCTCCCAGGACTAGACCTCATGACTCTCCAGATGTCTCTCCTCCCAAGAGAAGACGTCACGACTCTCCTGTTGTCTCTCCTCCCAAGAGAAGACGTCATGACTCTCCAGATGTCTCTCCTCACAGGACTAGACCTCACGACTCTCCAGATGTCTCTCCTCCCAGGAGAAGACGTCACGACTCTCCTGATGTCTCTCCTCACAGGACTAGACCTCACGACTCTCCAGATGTCTCTCCTCCCAGGAGAAGACGTCATGACTCTCCAGATGTCTCTCCTCCCAGGACTAGACATCACAACTCTCCAGATGTCTCTCCTCCCAAGAGAAGACGTCACGACTCTCCTGATGTCTCTCCTCCCAGGAGAAGACGTCATGACTCTCCAGATGTCTCTCCTCCCAAGAGAAGACGTCACGACTCTCCAGATGTCTCTCCTCCCAGGAGAAGACGCCATGACTCCCCAGGCTTGTCACCACCAAGACAGTGTTCAGGAAAGTCAGAAAAAATGCAAAGTAAAGGTGAGTGATCCATTTAAATTGTAAAGTGGAATCTGGTGTGGCATATGAATAAAAGTAAAAAGCAGAGACCCATTTAACATGAGTTTTGAATTGAAATTTATTTTAAAGACATAGCTTGATCTAATAATAAATCTTTAATTTTTGTTCAAAAGGCATTACAAAATGAAAATTAACAAATTAACTGTGTCTTTGTCAGATTCAGCCTCCAACAAAAGCAAGCTCAGCTCATCCTTGTTAAGTAAAAAACGCTCACCGGATCCTCATCGGTCAGCGGTGGCTAAGAAGGGTCAGAATAGACATGATTCAGACTCGGATCCGTCTCCCCCGAGGAAAAGGCCCCTGAAGGGAAACGCCTCAGACTCCGACCAATCTCCCCCAAGGAGGCCCTCAAAAACTAAACGGGGCTCAGACTCTGACCAGTCTCCACCCAGGGGGCAGCCACCGAGTGGAAGGGACTCGGATGGAGATTTGTCACCACCTCGTAGGCCAGGCCAGTCACAGGTAAGCAGACTGTGTTGGAACAAAGATTAATGTCAAATCTGATTTCACTCAAATGTTATATTTTTCAATTGTCTTTTTTTTTTTTATAACCAGGGCCAAAGGATGCTATCTGGTGGAAAGGCAGGCCTGGTTTCTGTGGACATTTTAAGGAAAGAGCAAAAGGAGAACAGACGCAGAGAAAAACACAATCAGCCACTTGAAGATTTCATCAACTTTTCTCTCTTAAGATTTTTTTACACCCATTGATTGAAGAGCTTCATACAGCTTTGCATCTCATTTCAGCTTATCATCTATATTGTCGTATTTTATTTAGTCCTAAAATTAAATAATGAAGTTTCTACATACTTACCCATTCATCCCCTTTGACCAGATGAATCGCGTAAGGCTCAGACGATTTTCAGAGACAAAAGTGGCAAAAGGAGGGATCTGGATTCAGAGAGAAATGAACAGAAAAAGAAAGCTGGTGAAAAAGCGGCAAGAGACGAGAAATACGCTCAGTGGGGAAAAGGGTAAATGTGCATGATCATTTCAAATATCACAGTTTATGTGATTATATCCACATAAAAAATTATAAAAGTGGTTCAATGGTTTATGTTAAAATGTATGTATAGGTTGGCACAGATCCAGATGCATCACCAGAAACTTAAGGAAGCGCTGCGCGAAGCCCTTAAGCCACTTGAGGATCTTGACCGCATGTTGAGAGAACAGGAAAGAGAAGGCGATCCTATGGCTGCAATGCGCAGGCGTAAAAAGGACCGTGGCACAAAAACACAAGATATTTAACTCAAAGAGAAGAGGACAGGATTCTCCTGTCAAAAAGACCCGGCATGACTCTCCAGACATCTCTCCACCAAAGAGAAGTCGGAAGTACTCTCCGGATGTCTCTCCTCACAGGACAAGACGTCACGACTCTCCAGATGTCTCTCCTCCCAGGACTAGACCTCACGACTCTCCAGATGTCTCTCCTCCCAGGAGAAGACGTCATGACTCTCCAGATGTCTCTCCTCCCAGGACTAGACCTCACGACTCTCCAGATGTCTCTCCTCCCAGGAGAAGACGTCATGACTCTCCTGATGTCTCTCCTCCCAGGACTAGACCTCACGACTCTCCAGATGTCTCTCCTCCCAGGAGAAGACGTCATGACTCTCCAGATGTCTCTCCTCCCAGGACTAGACCTCACGACTCTCCAGATGTCTCTCCTCCCAGGAGAAGACGTCATGACTCTCCAGATGTCTCTCCTCCCAGGACTAGACCTCATGACTCTCCAGATGTCTCTCCTCCCAAGAGAAGACGTCACGACTCTCCTGTTGTCTCTCCTCCCAAGAGAAGACGTCATGACTCTCCAGATGTCTCTCCTCACAGGACTAGACCTCACGACTCTCCAGATGTCTCTCCTCCCAGGAGAAGACGTCACGACTCTCCTGATGTCTCTCCTCACAGGACTAGACCTCACGACTCTCCAGATGTCTCTCCTCCCAGGAGAAGACGTCATGACTCTCCAGATGTCTCTCCTCCCAGGACTAGACATCACAACTCTCCAGATGTCTCTCCTCCCAAGAGAAGACGTCACGACTCTCCTGATGTCTCTCCTCCCAGGAGAAGACGTCATGACTCTCCAGATGTCTCTCCTCCCAGAGAAGACGTCACGACTCTCCTGATGTCTCTCCTCCCAGGAGAAGACGCCATGACTCCCCAGACTTGTCACCACCAAGACAGTGTTCAGGAAAGTCAGAAAAAATGCAAAGTAAAGGTCAGTGATCCATTTAAATTGTAAAGTGGAATCTGGTGTGGCATATGAATAAAAGTAAAAAGCAGAGACCCATTTAACATGAGTTTTGAATTGAAATTTATTTTAAAGACATAGCTTGATCTAATAATAAATCTTTAATTTTTGTCCAAAAGGCATTACAAAATGAAAATTAACAAATTAACTGTGTCTTTGTCAGATTCAGCCTCCAACAAAAGCAAGCTCAGCTCATCCTTGTTAAGTAAAAAACGCTCACCGGATCCTCATCGGTCAGCGGTGGCTAAGAAGGGTCAGAATAGACATGATTCAGACTCGGATCCGTCTCCCCCGAGGAAAAGGCCCCTGAAGGGAAACGCCTCAGACTCCGACCAATCTCCCCCAAGGAGGCCCTCAAAAACTAAACGGGGCTCAGACTCTGACCAGTCTCCACCCAGGGGGCAGCCACCGAGTGGAAGGGACTCGGATGGAGATTTGTCACCACCTCGTAGGCCAGGCCAGTCACAGGTAAGCAGACTGTGTTGGAACAAAGATTAATGTCAAATCTGATTTCACTCAAATGTTATATTTTTCAATTGTCTTTTTTTTTTTTATAACCAGGGCCAAAGGATGCTATCTGGTGGAAAGGCAGGCCTGGTTTCTGTGGACATTTTAAGGAAAGAGCAAAAGGAGAACAGACGCAGAGAAAAACACAATCAGCCACTTGAAGATTTCATCAACTTTTCTCTCTTAAGATTTTTTTACACCCATTGATTGAAGAGCTTCATACAGCTTTGCATCTCATTTCAGCTTATCATCTATATTGTCGTATTTTATTTAGTCCTAAAATTAAATAATGAAGTTTCTACATACTTACCCATTCATCCCCTTTGACCAGATGAATCGCGTAAGGCTCAGACGATTTTCAGAGACAAAAGTGGCAAAAGGAGGGATCTGGATTCAGAGAGAAATGAACAGAAAAAGAAAGCTGGTGAAAAAGCGGCAACAGACGAGAAATACGCTCAGTGGGGAAAACGGTAAATGTGCATGATCATTTCAAATATCACAGTTTATGTGATTATATCCACATAAAAAATTATAAAAGTGGTTCAATGGTTTATGTTAAAATGTATGTATAGGTTGGCACAGATCCAGATGCATCACCAGAAACTTAAGGAAGCGCTGCGCGAAGCCCTTAAGCCACTTGAGGATCTTGACCGCATGTTGAGAGAACAGGAAAGAGAAGGCGATCCTATGGCTGCAATGCGCAGGCGTAAAAAGGACCGTGGCACAAAAACACAAGATATTTAACTCAAAGAGAAGAGGACAGGATTCTCCTGTCAAAAAGACCCGGCATGACTCTCCAGACATCTCTCCACCAAAGAGAAGTCGGAAGTACTCTCCGGATGACTCTCCTCACAGGACAAGACGTCACGACTCTCCTGATGTCTCTCCTCCCAGGACTAGACCTCACGACTCTCCAGATGTCTCTCCTCCCAGGAGAAGACGTCATGACTCTCCAGATGTCTCTCCTCCCAGGACTAGACCTCACGACTCTCCAGATGTCTCTCCTCCCAGGAGAAGACGTCATGACTCTCCAGATGTCTCTCCTCCCAGGACTAGACCTCATGACTCTCCAGATGTCTCTCCTCCCAAGAGAAGACTCACGACTCTCCTGTTGTCTCTCCTCCCAAGAGAAGACGTCATGACTCTCCAGATGTCTCTCCTCACAGGACTAGACCTCACGACTCTCCAGATGTCTCTCCTCCCAGGAGAAGACGTCACGACTCTCCTGATGTCTCTCCCTCACAGGACTAGACCTCACGACTCTCCAGATGTCTCTCCTCCCAGGAGAAGACGTCATGACTCTCCAGATGTCTCTCCTCACAGGAGAAGACGTCATGACTCTCCAGATGTCTCTCCTCCCAGGACTAGACATCACAACTCTCCAGATGTCTCTCCTCCCAAGAGAAGACGTCACGACTCTCCTGATGTCTCTCCTCCCAGGAGAAGACGTCATGACTCTCCAGATGTCTCTCCTCCCAAGAGAAGACGTCACGACTCTACAGATGTCTCTCCTCCCAGGAGAAGACGCCATGACTCCCCAGGCTTGTCACCACCAAGACAGTGTTCAGGAAAGTCAGAAAAATGCAAAGTAAAGGTCAGTGATCCATTTAAATTGTAAAGTGGAATCTGGTGTGGCATATGAATAAAAGTAAAAAGCAGAGACCCATTTAACATGAGTTTTGAATTGAAATTTATTTTAAAGACATAGCTTGATCTAATAATAAATCTTTAATTTTTGTCCAAAAGGCATTACAAAATGAAAATTAACAAATTAACTGTGTCTTTGTCAGATTCAGCCTCCAACAAAAGCAAGCTCAGCTCATCCTTGTTAAGTAAAAAACGCTCACCGGATCCTCATCGGTCAGCGGTGGCTAAGAAGGGTCAGAATAGACATGATTCAGACTCGGATCCGTCTCCCCCGAGGAAAAGGCCCCTGAAGGGAAACGCCTCAGACTCCGACCAATCTCCCCCAAGGAGGCCTCAAAAACTAAACGGGGCTCAGACTCTGACCAGTCTCCACCCAGGGGGCAGCCACCGAGTGGAAGGGACTCGGATGGAGATTTGTCACCACCTCGTAGGCCAGGCCAGTCACAGGTAAGCAGACTGTGTTGGAACAAAGATTAATGTCAAATCTGATTTCACTCAAATGTTATATTTTTCAATTGTCTTTTTTTTTTTTATAACCAGGGCCAAAGGATGCTATCTGGTGGAAAGGCAGGCCTGGTTTCTGTGGACATTCTAAGGAAAGAGCAAAAGGAGAACAGACGCAGAGAAAAACACAATCAGCCACTTGAAGGTTTCATCAACTTTTCTCTCTTAAGATTTTTTTACACCCATTGATTGAAGAGCTTCATACAGCTTTGCATCTCATTTCAGCTTATCATCTATATTGTCGTATTTTATTTAGTCCTAAAATTAAATAATGAAGTTTCTACATACTTACCCATTCATCCCCTTTGACCAGATGAATCGCGTAAGGCTCAGACGATTTTCAGAGACAAAAGTGGCAAAAGGAGGGATCTGGATTCAGAGAGAAATGAACAGAAAAAGAAAGCTGGTGAAAAAGCGGCAAGAGACGAGAAATACGCTCAGTGGGGAAAAGGGTAAATGTGCATGATCATTTCAAATATCACAGTTTATGTGATTATATCCACATAAAAAATTATAAAAGTGGTTCAATGGTTTATGTTAAAATGTATGTATAGGTTGGCACAGATCCAGATGCATCACCAGAAACTTAAGGAAGCGCTGCGCGAAGCCCTTAAGCCACTTGAGGATCTTGACCGCATGTTGAGAGAACAGGAAAGAGAAGGCGATCCTATGGCTGCAATGCGCAGGCGTAAAAAGGACCGTGGCACAAAAACACAAGATATTTAACTCAAAGAGAAGAGGACAGGATTCTCCTGTCAAAAAGACCCGGCATGACTCTCCAGACATCTCTCCACCAAAGAGAAGTCGGAAGTACTCTCCGGATGTCTCTCCTCACAGGACAAGACGTCACGACTCTCCTGATGTCTCTCCTCCCAGGACTAGACCTCACGACTCTCCAGATGTCTCTCCTCCCAGGAGAAGACGTCATGACTCTCCAGATGTCTCTCCTCCCAGGACTAGACCTCACGACTCTCCAGATGTCTCTCCTCCCAGGAGAAGACGTCATGACTCTCCTGATGTCTCTCCTCCCAGGACTAGACCTCACGACTCTCCAGATGTCTCTCCTCCCAGGAGAAGACGTCATGACTCTCCAGATGTCTCTCCTCCCAGGACTAGACCTCACGACTCTCCAGATGTCTCTCCTCCCAGGAGAAGAAGTCATGACTCTCCAGATGTCTCTCCTCCCAGGAGAAGACGTCATGACTCTCCAGATGTCTCTCCTCCCAGGACTAGACCTCACGACTCTCCAGATGTCTCTCCTCCCAAGAGAAGACGTCACGACTCTCCTGTTGTCTCTCCTCCCAAGAGAAGACGTCATGACTCTCCAGATGTCTCTCCTCACAGGACTAGACCTCACGACTCTCCAGATGTCTCTCCTCCCAGGAGAAGACGTCACGACTCTCCTGATGTCTCTCCTCACAGGACTAGACCTCACGACTCTCCAGATGTCTCTCCTCCCAGGAGAAGACGTCATGACTCTCCAGATGTCTCTCCTCCCAGGACTAGACATCACAACTCTCCAGATGTCTCTCCTCCCAAGAGAAGACGTCACGACTCTCCTGATGTCTCTCCTCCAGGAGAAGACGTCATGACTCTCCAGATGTCTCTCCTCCCAAGAGAAGACGTCACGACTCTCCAGATGTCTCTCCTCCCAGGAGAAGACGCCATGACTCCCCAGGCTTGTCACCACCAAGACAGTGTTCAGGAAAGTCAGAAAAAATGCAAAGTAAAGGTGAGTGATCCATTTAAATTGTAAAGTGGAATCTGGTGTGGCATATGAATAAAAGTAAAAAGCAGAGACCCATTTAACATGAGTTTTGAATTGAAATTTATTTTAAAGACATAGCTTGATCTAATAATAAATCTTTAATTTTTGTCCAAAAGGCATTACAAAATGAAAATTAACAAATTAACTGTGTCTTTGTCAGATTCAGCCTCCAACAAAAGCAAGCTCAGCTCATCCTTGTTAAGTAAAAAACGCTCACCGGATCCTCATCGGTCAGCGGTGGCTAAGAAGGGTCAGAATAGACATGATTCAGACTCGGATCCGTCTCCCCCGAGGAAAAGGCCCCTGAAGGGAAACGCCTCAGACTCCGACCAATCTCCCCCAAGGAGGCCCTCAAAAACTAAACGGGGCTCAGACTCTGACCAGTCTCCACCCAGGGGGCAGCCACCGAGTGGAAGGGACTCGGATGGAGATTTGTCACCACCTCGTAGGCCAGGCCAGTCACAGGTAAGCAGACTGTGTTGGAACAAAGATTAATGTCAAATCTGATTTCACTCAAATGTTATATTTTTCAATTGTCTTTTTTTTTTTTATAACCAGGGCCAAAGGATGCTATCTGGTGGAAAGGCAGGCCTGGTTTCTGTGGACATTTAAGGAAAGAGCAAAAGGAGAACAGACGCAGAGAAAAACACAATCAGCCACTTGAAGGTTTCATCAACTTTTCTCTCTTAAGATTTTTTTACACCCATTGATTGAAGAGCTTCATACAGCTTTGCATCTCATTTCAGCTTATCATCTATATTGTCGTATTTTATTTAGTCCTAAAATTAAATAATGAAGTTTCTACATACTTACCCATTCATCCCCTTTGACCAGATGAATCGCGTAAGGCTCAGACGATTTTCAGAGACAAAAGTGGCAAAAGGAGGGATCTGGATTCAGAGAGAAATGAACAGAAAAGAAAGCTGGTGAAAAAGCGGCAAGAGACGAGAAATACGCTCAGTGGGGAAAAGGGTAAATGTGCATGATCATTTCAAATATCACAGTTTATGTGATTATATCCACATAAAAAATTATAAAAGTGGTTCAATGGTTTATGTTAAAATGTATGTATAGGTTGGCACAGATCCAGATGCATCAGCAGAAACTTAAGGAAGCGCTGCGCGAAGCCCTTAAGCCACTTGAGGATCTTGACCGCATGTTGAGAGAACAGGAAAGAGAAGGCGATCCTATGGCTGCAATGCGCAGGCGTAAAAAGGACCGTGGCACAAAAACACAAGATATTTAACTCAAAGAGAAGAGGACAGGATTCTCCTGTCAAAAAGACCCGGCATGACTCTCCAGACATCTCTCCACCAAAGAGAAGTCGGAAGTACTCTCCGGATGTCTCTCCTCACAGGACAAGACGTCACGACTCTCCTGATGTCTCTCCTCCCAGGACTAGACCTCACGACTCTCCAGATGTCTCTCCTCCCAGGAGAAGACGTCATGACTCTCCAGATGTCTCTCCTCCCAGGACTAGACCTCACGACTCTCCAGATGTCTCTCCTCCCAGGAGAAGACGCCATGACTCTCCTGATGTCTCTCCTCCCAGGACTAGACCTCACGACTCTCCAGATGTCTCTCCTCCCAGGAGAAGACGTCATGACTCTCCAGATGTCTCTCCTCCCAGGACTAGACCTCACGACTCTCCAGATGTCTCTCCTCCCAGGAGAAGACGTCATGACTCTCCAGATGTCTCTCCTCCCAGGACTAGACCTCATGACTCTCCAGATGTCTCTCCTCCCAAGAGAAGACGTCACGACTCTCCTGTTGTCTCTCCTCCCAAGAGAAGACGTCATGACTCTCCAGATGTCTCTCCTCACAGGACTAGACCTCACGACTCTCCAGATGTCTCTCCTCCCAGGAGAAGACGTCACGACTCTCCTGATGTCTCTCCTCACAGGAGAAGACGTCATGACTCTCCAGATGTCTCTCCTCCCAGGACTAGACATCACAACTCTCCAGATGTCTCTCCTCCCAAGAGAAGACGTCACGACTCTCCTGATGTCTCTCCTCCCAGGAGAAGACGTCATGACTCTCCAGATGTCTCTCCTCCCAAGAGAAGACGTCACGACTCTCCAGATGTCTCTCCTCCCAGGAGAAGACGCCATGACTCCCCAGGCTTGTCACCACCAAGACAGTGTTCAGGAAAGTCAGAAAAAATGCAAAGTAAAGGTCAGTGATCCATTTAAATTGTAAAGTGGAATCTGGTGTGGCATATGAATAAAAGTAAAAAGCAGAGACCCATTTAACATGAGTTTTGAATTGAAATTTATTTTAAAGACATAGCTTGATCTAATAATAAATCTTTAATTTTTGTCCAAAAGGCATTACAAAATGAAAATTAACAAATTAACTGTGTCTTTGTCAGATTCAGCCTCCAACAAAAGCAAGCTCAGCTCATCCTTGTTAAGTAAAAAACGCTCACCGGATCCTCATCGGTCAGCGGTGGCTAAGAAGGGTCAGAATAGACATGATTCAGACTCGGATCCGTCTCCCCCGAGGAAAAGGCCCCTGAAGGGAAACGCCTCAGACTCCGACCAATCTCCCCCAAGGAGGCCCTCAAAAACTAAACGGGGCTCAGACTCTGACCAGTCTCCACCCAGGGGGCAGCCACCGAGTGGAAGGGACTCGGATGGAGATTTGTCACCACCTCGTAGGCCAGGCCAGTCACAGGTAAGCAGACTGTGTTGGAACAAAGATTAATGTCAAATCTGATTTCACTCAAATGTTATATTTTTCAATTGTCTTTTTTTTTTTATAACCAGGGCCAAAGGATGCTATCTGGTGGAAAGGCAGGCCTGGTTTCTGTGGACATTCTAAGGAAAGAGCAAAAGGAGAACAGACGCAGAGAAAAACACAATCAGCCACTTGAAGATTTCATCAACTTTTCTCTCTTAAGATTTTTTTACACCCATTGATTGAAGAGCTTCATACAGCTTTGCATCTCATTTCAGCTTATCATCTATATTGTCGTATTTTATTTAGTCCTAAAATTAAATAATGAAGTTTCTACATACTTACCCATTCATCCCCTTTGACCAGATGAATCGCGTAAGGCTCAGACGATTTTCAGAGACAAAAGTGGCAAAAGGAGGGATCTGAATTCAGAGAGAAATGAACAGAAAAAGAAAGCTGGTGAAAAAGCGGCAAGAGACGAGAAATACGCTCAGTGGGGAAAAGGGTAAATGTGCATGATCATTTCAAATATCACAGTTTATGTGATTATATCCACATAAAAAATTATAAAAGTGGTTCAATGGTTTATGTTAAAATGTATGTATAGGTTGGCACAGATCCAGATGCATCACCAGAAACTTAAGGAAGCGCTGCGCGAAGCCCTTAAGCCACTTGAGGATCTTGACCGCATGTTGAGAGAACAGGAAAGAGAAGGCGATCCTATGGCTGCAATGCGCAGGCGTAAAAAGGACCGTGGCACAAAAACACAAGATATTTAACTCAAAGAGAAGAGGACAGGATTCTCCTGTCAAAAAGACCCGGCATGACTCTCCAGACATCTCTCCACCAAAGAAAAGTCGGAAGTACTCTCCGGATGTCTCTCCTCACAGGACAAGACGTCACGACTCTCCTGATGTCTCTCCTCCCAGGACTAGACCTCACGACTCTCCAGATGTCTCTCCTCCCAGGAGAAGACGTCATGACTCTCCAGATGTCTCTCCTCCCAGGACTAGACCTCATGACTCTCCAGATGTCTCTCCTCCCAGGAGAAGACGTCATGACTCTCCAGATGTCTCTCCTCCCAGGACTAGACCTCACGACTCTCCAGATGTCTCTCCTCCCAAGAGAAGACTTCATGACTCTCCTGATGTCTCTCCTCCCAGGACTAGACCTCACGACTCTCCAGATGTCTCTCCTCCAGGAGAAGACGTCATGACTCTCCAGATGTCTCTCCTCCCAGGACTAGACCTCACGACTCTCCAGATGTCTCTCCTCCCAGGAGAAGACGTCATGACTCTCCAGATGTCTCTCCTCCCAGGACTAGACCTCATGACTCTCCAGATGTCTCTCCTCCCAAGAGAAGACGTCACGACTCTCCTGTTGTCTCTCCTCCCAAGAGAAGACGTCATGACTCTCCAGATGTCTCTCCTCACAGGACTAGACCTCACGACTCTCCAGATGTCTCTCCTCCCAGGAGAAGACGTCACGACTCTCCTGATGTCTCTCCTCACAGGACTAGACCTCACGACTCTCCAGATGTCTCTCCTCCCAGGAGAAGACGTCATGACTCTCCAGATGTCTCTCCTCCCAGGACTAGACATCACAACTCTCCAGATGTCTCTCCTCCCAGGAGAAGACGTCACGACTCTCCTGATGTCTCTCCTCCCAGGAGAAGACGTCATGACTCTCCAGATGTCTCTCCTCCCAAGAGAAGACGTCACGACTCTCCAGATGTCTCTCCTCCCAGGAGAAGACGTCATGACTCTCCAGATGTCTCTCCTCCCAGGAGAAGACGCCATGACTCCCCAGACTTGTCACCACCAAGACAGTGTTCAGGAAAGTCAGAAAAAATGCAAAGTAAAGGTCAGTGATCCATTTAAATTGTAAAGTGGAATCTGGTGTGGCATATGAATAAAAGTAAAAAGCAGAGACCCATTTAACATGAGTTTTGAATTGAAATTTATTTTAAAGACATAGCTTGATCTAATACTAAATCTTTAATTTTTGTCCAAAAGGCATTACAAAATGAAAATTAACAAATTAACTGTGTCTTTGTCAGATTCAGCCTCCAACAAAAGCAAGCTCAGCTCATCCTTGTTAAGTAAAAAACGCTCACCGGATCCTCATCGGTCAGCGGTGGCTAAGAAGGGTTAGAATAGACATGATTCAGACTCGGATCCGTCTCCCCCGAGGAAAAGGCCCCTGAAGGGAAACGCCTCAGACTCCGACCAATCTCCCCAAGGAGGCCCTCAAAAACTAAACGGGGCTCAGACTCTGACCAGTCTCCACCCAGGGGGCAGCCACCGAGTGGAAGGGACTCGGATGGAGATTTGTCACCACCTCGTAGGCCAGGCCAGTCACAGGTAAGCAGACTGTGTTGGAACAAAGATTAATGTCAAATCTGATTTCACTCAAATGTTATATTTTTCAATTGTCTTTTTTTTTTTATAACCAGGGCCAAAGGATGCTATCTGGTGGAAAGGCAGGCCTGGTTTCTGTGGACATTTTAAGGAAAGAGCAAAAGGAGAACAGACGCAGAGAAAAACACAATCAGCCACTTGAAGGTTTCATCAACTTTTCCCTCTTAAGATTTTTTTACACCCATTGATTGAAGAGCTTCATACAGCTTTGCATCTCATTTCAGCTTATCATCTATATTGTCGTATTTTATTTAGTCCTAAAATTAAATAATGAAGTTTCTACATACTTACCCATTCATCCCCTTTGACCAGATGAATCGCGTAAGGCTCAGACGATTTTCAGAGACAAAAGTGGCAAAAGGAGGGATCTGAATTCAGAGAGAAATGAACAGAAAAAGAAAGCTGGTGAAAAAGCGGCAAGAGACGAGAAATACGCTCAGTGGGGAAAAGGGTAAATGTGCATGATCATTTCAAATATCACAGTTTATGTGATTATATCCACATAAAAAATTATAAAAGTGGTTCAATGGTTTATGTTAAAATGTATGTATAGGTTGGCACAGATCCAGATGCATCACCAGAAACTTAAGGAAGCGCTGCGCGAAGCCCTTAAGCCACTTGAGGATCTTGACCGCATGTTGAGAGAACAGGAAAGAGAAGGCGATCCTATGGCTGCAATGCGCAGGCGTAAAAAGGACCGTGGCACAAAAACACAAGATATTTAACATTACATATGTTTTATTTTATTTATGACTTTATTTTATTTCACCAGGTCAATCCTTGTAAGAAGCTTTTAAATAGCAGCAGTTTTGCTTTTGCTACTGTTTGTATTTTTATTTATTTGTATGTTTGTTTTGATTTTTGTAGAGAAACCTCGATATAACGGCCCTGCTCCACCTCCAAACCGGTTCAATATTCCACCGGGGTACCGCTGGGACGGAGTTGACAGGTAGAGTTTGTGCATCGGTGACAGAGGAAAACTGTTGAGGACAGAACTGTAGTTTAATATTGAATGTTTTTAATACACACATCAGTTTGTCATTTTGCACATTAATGGTAAAGAAATTGTGATCATTTTTTTCCACGTCTATATTAAATTTGCGCCTAATTGAATGGATTGTCTTTGGCCTTTTAGCTTGTCGTATCATAATTAATAGGGTTATTTTATTTGTGTCTTGCAGGTCAAATGGTTTTGAACAGAAACGCTACCAGAGGATAAAAAGGCTGTGCAGGAAGCGGCCTATAAATGGAGTGTGGAGGATATGTAAAGGCTTTCAGAAAATGATGAATCTGGAGCAGAGCTAAAGAGCACACCTTCTCAACCTTTATGTATAATTGTTATGCTGTTAGAACAACAAGACTAGATGCATCTACGCAGCAAAAGTTCTTTTTTAAATAAACTACATAGAAGAATTTGTTTCACCTTTCCAAACCCTTTTGATACTGTACCATGTGTATCAGATGGAACTGTACAGAAAAATGAAGTGAAGCATGTTCACAATTTTTGTAAGAAGTTATTCACCGTGGAGCAGAAGCTGTTGTGGTTTCAGTGTTTTATTAAAGAATGTTTTTGTAATGCATTGTCCCAAGAGTGTTCAGGCACCTGTAACTTGGATAGCATTTGACATTCAGTCTTTTTAGATAATTTTATACACTTACCACCCATTTTATTAGGCAACAGTAACTCAAATAACCGCTAGTTACAACCAACATATTTTGGTCCTGGACATAGAAATAGAGACATGTCCCTCATGACTCCAAATGAAACGTAGTGCACAGCAACCAAATGCTGAAAGAGAGTGTCCACAGCTGACTGTCGATGGTATGGTATAGCTGTGAGGCGTTTGTGTACAAGATAAATGCACATTTGAGAGTTCTGTGGTGTAGCTAAAAAAGACTGACCTACAGAGATGTGAAAAAAGCGGCATTCAAATAAGTCATTCCTTGCCAAATTAATCAGGGAGTACATACACTGACAGGATGCTGTGACTCTCACAGTGAGGGAATCAGGTTGGGCTCTAATATTTTTTCTAGCAATGTCCGATTCAGTCTAACATCTGTAAAAGTTTTAAGGCACTTTCCACCAGCACTGTCAAAAAGAATTATGGAAGAATGATTTGTAGAATCAAGGAATCGGTGTCCTGGTTGCACATGCTGGACCAATGGCTTAATAACACAACAATGCTATTGCCTTTAATCTGTCACTATCTATGCTATTGATTATGGTGTAATTATATAAAATTATTATTTTTTTTAAAAAAGTGACAGTATTGTGCAATGAATAAAAAGTTTTATTTATAAACTTTTTATTTTTATAAAAAGTATTATTTATTATTATAATAAACCTTACTTCATATAAACTACACAAAGTGTTCTCTAAGTACGGAGACATCCAGCGGCTCCGGCTGGTCCGGGACATTGTCACGGGTTTCTCCAAAGGATATGCCTTCATTGAGTACAAAGAGGAGCGATCTGTGGTCGGGACAGCTAACAAGCTGGTGGTCGACCAGCATGAAGTGTTCGTGGATTTTGAGCAAGAGAGGACTCTTAAAGGATGGGTGCCGCGGCGGCTCGGCGGCGGGCTTGGAGGGAAAAAGGAATCCGGACAGCTGCGGTTCGGCGGCAGGGACAGGCCTTTCCGTAAACCCATCAATCTCGGGGTAGACCCGGTGTAGGAACGAGGTGGTGGTGGTGGTGGTGGAGGGAGGGAGTGGGGCAGACCAAGCGGGAGAGCCAGAGACGATCGGGACCGACACAGAACAGAAGAGTGGGGCAACAGAGGAAGGAGAGATGACCGGGACAGAGGCCGAGAGTGGGATGACCGCAGGCACGGAGACAGGAGCAGGCACCGGGACCGGAGATGAAGCATGTGGCTGCACTTCAGCGGTACTGCAAGACTGACGGATGGTTCAAAGCACAGCTGAAGGCTTTCAAAGGAGGACAGTGAATGAGTGTGTGACTTGGATAACTGTTTGTGTGAAAGGTTACTTTTTTGTATGCTGATATTCTTCAGATTGTACTGTATGGTAATCAGGACTCTGCCTGTGGCTGTCATATTCAGTTCTTCTCAGGGAAGTCTCAGGAATGACAAAGTAGGGTTGTTGTGATGCATTGAGTTTTTCCTTTCCAGTCACCTTTCTCACTCACTATGTATTAATAGACCTCTCTGCATTGAATCATATCTGTTATTAACCTCTGTCTCTCTTCCACAGCATGTCTTTATCCTGTCTTCCTTCTCTCACCCCAACCGGTCGCAGCAGATGGCCCCGCCCCTCCCTGAGCCTGGTTCTGCCGGAGGTTTCTTCCTGTTAAAAGGGAGTTTTTCCTTCCCACTGTCGCCAAAGTGCTTGCTCATAGGGGGTCATATGATTGTTGGGTTTTTCTCTATGAAGCGCCTTGAGGCGACTTTTGTTGTGATTTGGCGCTATATAAATAAAATTGAATTGAATTGAATTGAAATTGTGTTTTGTTGGGGTTTTTTTTTTTTTACAAGTCTTTATTCTAGCGAAAAAATTACAATACGGGTGGTGTCCAGCCAAATGAGGCTTACATCCCGGATGTCAAACATGAGCGCCAGCAGCCAGAATCACTGCTTAAGAGTCCAATTGGATTGCTTTGGGAAATCGGAACTGTACTTTTATACAGTTATCATAAATATTATTACCCCACATATACAATTCAAATTTTATTTCTTGCAATTTAAGTCCCAACAGACTTTTTTCCCCATTTACTACAGAATGTTGTTTATC